CTTATATTAATTATTCGTAAAACTTATAATTCTATAAGTATTTTATTAGATTTAATATAATTTTTTATATTTAAAACTATAAAAACTATAAAACTATAAAACTATACTACAGTTAATGCTCTGCTAGTGTTACTAAAGGTATTATATTAACAGCTATAAAAGCAGATTAAAGCGTGGAATTATCCTTAGGATTAAAGCTATCTAGGTACGAAAAATAGGCCCTTATTTATAGATATTAATATTATCTAGCAGATCACCTAAAAAGTTATTAATTTAAGGGATTTTACGGTATATAGCTATTAAAGGTTCGGTTTTAACAGGGTGGTAGCGCGAGCCTTTTAGAGGCTTTTTCGTACAATTAAAAGGCAGCTATTTAAGGCTTTCTAGGGCTTTTTAGGGTCCCTAATAAATAGCAGCCTTTTTCTATTAAAAGGGGCCTTTAGCGTTAATAGGAGGCTATTTAAATGTGAGAGCCTATTCGTAAGCAAATAGCATTAAACTTTTTTATTAATAGCTAGCTTAATTACCTTAAAGCTAGCTCGTTTAGTTAAAGCTTTAAGATAATATAATAATTACTCTCTTTAATTAAGTATATTAAATAAAAAACTATCCCTTATATTAGACTTAATAGAGAAAGATAAAGAAATAAAGAAGTATATTAAATAAGAGTAATAAGATATATAATAATAGAGTATAGTATCGCCTAGGTTTTAAGAAAGATACTATTATAAATAAAAGCTATTATTAATATACTATTATTCGTTTATAATTATAATATATTAGGCCTTTATTAATAGAGTATAGCTTTTAAAAAAGTAAAGTTATAAGTTTAATTAAATTCTACTAAAATAATATTATTTATTACGTTTTTAAGCTTTAATAAATTAATAAAATTAAAGGTAAAGAGTAAAAATATTCGCTATTAAGGTACTAGCTATTTATAAATTATACTATACACTTATTAGATTTAATAAGTATACACTTGTAGGTTTAAACGCTGTCTCTACTCAAAGAGAACTAAAAAAAAAGTGGAAATAAAAGTGGGTAAAAACATACAACACCAGGTGTTCGCTGGTCGTCACGTCCCAAACTACTAATCCGGCGCTCGCCATGTTATCGTACGAGATCGAACGGGATCGTGAGTTTTACTGGCGGCTGTGGTCGTATGTGCTAGAAGAGGTGCATGATTGAGTTATAAACGATCGCTTTTATTAAAGCTACAGTAACTTATTTATAGCCTAGTCGGTCATAATACTCATCAAGATGGTCTAAATTAAACAATTCTCCTAAAGTCAGAGACCTCAATTAACTGCCAGGAAAAGATGATGCCGAAACACTAATATCACTCCGATATTCAGAGCAGTAAGTAAGTCGTTGCATCGTGCCACGCCCTAAATAGGGGCTGGTGTTAGGAGTTCGAGCCGTCGGCAAGCCGACCCAGTATTAACAAATGAAGAGCGCCCCAAAGACATTTAAGGGAGGACGACCCCAAAGGGAAGTTCTAAAGGGTCGATAGAACTAGTAATACGGTTAAGGTGCACATGCTCCTAAATAAGTTATTCTACTTGATGTGTATGTAGGAAAGTGGTGTTCTAATAACTCGGCACCACGCAACCCCGAGATTTAATTTAAGACAGGAACCACTAGCAAGTTAAGGCTGAGGCCCTTCGGCAAAGCGCTGCATGGGTAGAGAATGAAATGCGCGAGGCTATCTGAAGAGAAAAGGAGGCAATCCAGCGCCAACGACAAGAACGGATTCGACGACACATGCAGGGAAACACCACTCTCGCCCACACCAGCGGACCCAACTTTTTAATTAAAAATTGGGATAGGATTACTGCGTTAAGTAAGACTTGTCCGTAGTGATTTCTATGCCCAAGTAAAATTGACTGGGCCCTAGGTCTACCATTTTAAACTTTTGGGATGGCGAGTTCCCTTGATAGCTTGTCCAGATCCTGTCGGTACCCTATCTTTCAGGCTGCTAGATAGGAACTTCTTTGTCTATCTTACCGTAAAGAAAAGCTATCTCGACGTCTGTTTATTTAAGGTTCTAGCTCACAATGGAATGACATAGGGTATTGGGGATTGAGACAGATGGACTTTATGGCAGCTTTCACCTCTACCGTAATGTACATAACGGAGTCTATATCCAGCAACTTGAAGGGTTTGGACTGGGACCGACAGGGTCTGGTAGCGCAACAAGGCCTCTACTACCTAAAACAGTTACCAAGGACCTGTCAAGGTGCGCTCTTTACGTACCTAAGGAATTGGGTTTTGCGCAGCCCAGTCAAGACTCTAGTACTCGCTATCCACAAAGTTAGAATGACAGACCTACGTACGGCCCTGCCAATTCTAGTTGGGCATGGAAATGAGTAGAGATAGGAGAACAGACGTATATTATATACCTTTCTGAGGAGGCATTCATAAGGAAAACCATTGCGCGACTTCAAAATTTCTACCCACAAAGCCTAGCATACCCTACAGAGCTGCGGCTCGATCAATGCCACGGGGAATACATACGCCGTCACGGATAACAATGCGTGATGCGGTGACAACACAGAAGCAGAGGGGCTCTGAAGCCCGCGCTAGACTAGCAGGAAGTCGTGACGTTGCTGCTTTGGATGACTGTTGAATACATCTAGTTAAATCTCCGGGGTGTTTCTAAGTCTTGAACACCAGCGACTGGCTTAAAACTATTACCTATCTCTCGAGTGCTTTACAGCATATGCATGACTTTGGGATTACTGGGACAACGGCTTGCGGGACTAATCCAATCCAACTGAAATAATCCTTAATATCAAAGGTTCTTGGGTTTTCATTAGGCTCTTGGGCCAAAGGGCCCTTATTTATACAAAGCAGCGGTGAGCATTGTGGTCTAAGGCCTTTGGGCCTTAAGCCCTTTTGTAACTATCGTCAGGTTCCGATGTCGGTCCGTGCCGCGATATTGCGATGGCCGTAAAACAATTGCTCATCAAGGTTCATATGTGGGCCTTTAGTCTCGTTGTGTTGTAATTACTCACAAATTGAGGCCCTGACGCAGAGGAACTATGGGATCTTTATCATTGGGTGAGGAGCGTAGTACTTCTCCGTATCTGAAGCTACAGAAAAATCCGCACCCATGCTATTGAGGAAGCAAGTGGAGACAAGACGGAGTGCCCGGAAATGTTTGAAATATTATGGAAGATTCAAGACGCGACATCCTTCGATCTCGACCAGCCGGATTCTCGCGCCTCAACCCGACGACGAGAACAGGCTCTCTAATACATTGTTAGTTCGAGACAGACAAGGAGCAAGACTCTTGTAGCAACGAGTCTGGACTTGAGGGTGATTGGCGGCTATGACGGCGCATACGCGAGCTAAATTCCCAACAAAGAAAAGGAGCCACCATAATTTGCGACTAATTGCCCTATATTAGCCATGGAAATAACGTAGTTACTATATAGAAGATGATGACTCTTTTCTTGCGTACACTATTGCGTAATAGAAGAACTTGGAATTGAAGATGAAGACTGGCTTCTATTAACGTAGTCATTTACCTTGTTCATTTAGCCGAATACTAGTGGTTGTAATGTGGCTCTAATCGCCTTTTTGGCTGGTAGTAGAATATGTACTAGAGAATAGTAGCTAACTTAAAGCAACCTTGAACCCACTCATACACGAGACCGTGTGCTTACTATGCTATTTAAGCTTAGAACCATCTCATTTTTGGGAATGCGACGCGTAATGATGTCACGATTGGCAGCTGTGGGCCGCATCGAACGTGGACTAGTCGTTGATTGAATTTGTCTATCTGTGAATTTGGGGCCCTCTATTTTCAATTGAACATTGCAAATAACACCAGTGACGTTTCAATCGATTGAAAATGACAGATTTGGTGCTGGCTTCCAATTTGATCTTTACAAGCTAGATCGCACTTCTTAGATCAAAGGCCCGGCTCGTCGAGCCTACTAAAAAAAGGCTCCGCTCAATGACTAACTGGATGACAAATTACGTAAATATGTAGGAGAGATGTGCCAACAATTTTGTTCGAACCGTGCATTGCCATAGACATCACGTGCCACTCTGCTACTACCTAACAAACCAGACACTCGAACGCGTAAAAAGTGATTTCAGCCATCCGGAAGGACTAAAAGCACTCTTAGCATCGATCCTAACCTCGTCTTCAGCTAGAAGATTGGCGTGGAGCTGCGTTTTCAAAACTCATACTTGTTTTCACAATTTGCCATCATCTTCGTACCACGCACGCATTGTTTGTTCGTCAGCCAAGTCGCCACAACTAACACTTCGACCATGGGACAGTCCTTTAGACTTCTGGCGCCTCATGCCAGACTGAGCGAGGAATTTGGAGGGAAGCTCGGAGAGATGATTTACGACGGCACTGCCGAGAGACTGGTTGAGCTACTCGCCGTCCCCGTTCGGCCCAAGTTTGCCGTGAACCCAGACCGAATTGCTTCCCAGACTGCGTCGCAGAGCAGCCGTTCACCTGAACAAAATGAGTGCAGTGAGCTTCAGGTGACCGTAGCAGTCAAGCGGAAAGCGAATGCCGAAATGTCAAAGAGCCCTCCACCACTTCGGAAGAAGATCAAGACAACATCTGGAAGCCACGGACCGAATTCTCAATCAGCCACATTTTCTAGCCTCCCTACCGAAATCCATCAACTTATATTCTCTCATATCGAGAAATTTGTAGATGTGCTCAGACTCGGATTGGTGAATCGGCACCTCTGCGATATCGCTCGGGAACAGCTGCTGTCCGGTTTTTGTTCGCATTTTGCACCATGGGCCGGTCAAAAGATTGTCTATGTGGGATGTAATACCAAACCAAATGACTACCCGCCCGGACTATTCTCGGACGCAGAAATAGAAGCCCTCAGCAAAGAGGAAATCGAGGTCTATGACGAGTACGAGCAAGACTATATTACCATGACACCATCCAATCTCTTTGACTTCACGACACCTGGTGTTTCCGCGATGCAAGGAAGGATCGACATAGAACTCAAAACAATCCAGTATCGATTGTTATCCTACAAGTTAAAAGCTTCCGAGAATGCTGCACTGACATATTTGGGCGTGCCCGCATATATCCAGTGCGACCACTTTTTGCCCCGAGACCAACCGTGGGTTCTCCGAAACCTCACCACAAAGCAGTTTGTACGTGCAGAGGCCATTGCCCTAAAGCCGGAATTTATTCACGGCCCCGAAATTAAGTTTTTCGGCTTTGGCCACGTCGTCCTGTTACGCATCTGCTGGTCGTCTAGCCCTGTCAGTGGCGTGGATCCGGAGAATATCGTCAGAGGAATATGGGCAGGGCACTGTTTCGATATCACTCTACTGGCCAAACACCAGGAGGAGACCGGCGCCGGAGAAGGTTGGACCGATATAAGCGATGAAGTTGCAAAGGAGATTGCTACTTTCTGTGAAACCAATGAGGGCCCCGACTGGCGTTCGTATCTTTGTGAAAATGCAACACGATCCAGCGACTGGTGGTAAACGAGAGGCCGAGGTTAAAATACCATGTTGACTTTGGCACATGATTATAGCACACCGACTGGCCGCTAAGATGGGAGAAGAATGGCGAGATTCCAAGAGTGTTATCCATATTACCAATTTCGCCAGGGGACTTGGGGCGTCCCGTTTTTCACTTTGGCCGCTGAATATGTAGGGGAAACAAGGTAATAGCTAGGTTTTTGAAGTAGAAGTAAGGTAGCGGCTGCGGCTTGGTAAATTGACTGTACTTGTTTTATTTCCCTTTCAGAATAAGGCGGTGGGTTCCTATTGTTCTAGGCAACCCTCCCGGCAAGACCTGTAACCTGTAACCTCTCCAACTGTCTATGCCTAGAAGCCTGCCTGAACATGTGAATCTCACTACATAACCTCAGGTGTTTTCATAGGATGGCGTTCAATACTTTACTTCACCACAACATGTACCGGGAAATTGATGAGAAAAGCCAACTACGACAGCCTACTCGGTCATTGGTTTGGGATTTTTAATGGGTTTATTTAATGCGCCACGTATGGGCAAATATGGAAAGCCTGGATCTTTGAGGTGCTGGGAAAAGTTTTGCTGCCGTACATAGAAGGTAGGGGTTCCATAAAGCTCCCCGTGGTGTAGCCGGACGACATCAAATTCTCGATAAAGCTCTTTCAATATGAGTCCAAATCCTTTGTCTTCGACCATGATCATGTAACTCAAACTCGCATGCGTTTCCTTTTGTAGCTGCTGGTGTACAAGTCAGTTAACGTGCTCGCTCCGACCTGCTGCTTCGGTTTGCCTAGAAGTCCTTCACTCAGCGCAAACTGCCAGATAAGGACATGGATATTGATTCAAGATCCTGATGACACGAATCAAATATTCCGAAAACAACGTCGACTGTACACTGCGTTGTACCGGTCTGGTACTGGGTCCGATGCCACCACAAGCCCTTGCCATAGGAGAAAGAAAACATTGAGGCTGCACAATGTCGCCAGGCTGAATTAATTAGACCAGACCCCTCCACTGGCTCAACTGCTTGAGCTGGTGCATGTGGGCTCCTACGTGCCTGTGGGACAACCGAAACTCCCTACAACTTAACGCGCATACTCTTAAGTCTCACCTACCAGACCAGACCCGTCTATAATATTGACCTGCTATGTAACTGTCTGGCTACCTAGGTAGGTAGGTAGATGGGACAGTTTAGATACATAATGGCCTCGGTATTCTGACTGATAGTAGAAGCAAGCTAAGACCATCTAGACTTATTTGTTACAGAATAGCTTTCAAGTCCTATGCAATTATGGTATCGTAGTAGCTTGAAGGCCAATTGAAGAAGCAAAGCGCGTAGTTGCATATTTCACTACTCTAGAGTAATGCTGCATTGTCAGGACCTTTTCGTCACAGTACAATTTGTTTCAATAGGATAAGATTGTATTCACAAAGTATTTAATACATGAAAACCTGAATCGTATTTACTTACCTGCCGTCCATTCTGGAAGGTGCTGAGTCACAATATTCTAAACTGTCAATCAAGCTTTGGCTTGATTTGCGTACAAAACACCAGCTGCAGCCTCTTGGAAATGGCGCGCACAGTTACTTCGGAGCAACTTGCCAAGGGCACCAAGTTAGCATTCTCGCCAGTGTACAGGATCGTTCAAAGACAGTCATCAAGATATACACTCGCATGGCAGAAGCCGAGAGGATGAAGTTCATCCGTGCCAATATATCGATTTTCGTTCCAGGAGTTCGAAATGCCTGTGACAAGGGCTCAAGGAGGGCTTGGAGCTAATAGCTAATTCATCTAATAACAGTCTTTGGTATTAAAGGTCCTTGGTTTTCCTCAAGGCCTTAAGGGACCAAAGGTGTCTATAAATACAAGAAGTCAGTGAGGGACTTTGACCTTGGTCTCGTGACCGTAGCCCTTGTGTAACCAGCCATTTCCGTGTAACAATGCCTACCGTGACGATGAGACGGGACAAGCCGTCAATATTATAGATTATGTAGAGGGCCAAACCTTTAAGCAGCGTGGGCAGACTTTACCCAAGCAGGACAGGACTCGGTCATTTCCCAGTTTCGTGGCTACATGGCTCAGCTTCGCTGCCTTAAGGCGATTTCATCGGGTGCATTGACGGCTCAGCAGGCAACGACACGATCAGTACTTTTGTGAACGTCCCGAAGGGTACGGGCTCTACCAAACCGAGCAAGAATTCAACGAGGACATGGTGAAAGCAATGAAGGACAGCAAGAGTGGATTTGCCAGGTGGCGATGCAGCGTCTGGCTAAGCATCATGAAAGACGACGATATTGCTCTGGCGCACAGTGACTTTGACCCTCGCAACATTCTGGTCCAAGGGGACAAGGTCACGGCCATCTTGAACTAGGAGATGTCGGGTTACTATTCCACTTCTTGGGAATACGGCAACGCTTTATTGCGGCCTGGGTCAGAGGGTGCATGGAGCCGGAGCAAGGCCGTGGACAAGATTCTGGAGGCGTTTCACAAAGAGCTCACAGTCATGTCGATGTTGAGCGAATTGCAATACTGATGACTCAGATATTCTGGGCATGATTCAATCCCACCCTCAGACTCATGTGACAGACTTGGCTTGACGATTTCCCAGCCGACCCTCAAGGCGATGAAACTGCAGATGTCGTCGATTTCATCGGGGATCTTGTACCAGTGCCCTTGGTTTTCGTAGCATTTCCATTCAACCTGATAGCCTGCATTTCGCATTAGCTGTGCCGCAGCCTCTCCCAACACACACGGTACCTTGTCATCCGCCACCCCATGGCCAAGAAAAACAGGAGTCTGGCATGCCGTCTTCTCTTGCGAGGGGCAGTCCAACAAGGGAAGCCCCAATAGATCTCTTTCGACCACCTGAGCCTTGACGGGGCTAGCTTGCTCAGTAGCGTCCTGCGACTCACCGGGACGTGCGAAGGGGTCGTCGCTATCGACGTCATCCTGCACAGCGCTCTCGAGTTCATCTTGATACGTGAGATAGCCACTCATACCAATATAACCACCAATAGGGTGTTCCAATGACAGCAGCACGGCAAGCGACATGGCGCAGCCCTGACTCAGGCCTCCGATTATGAGGTTTTGGGGCTGCACCTTCTGGAGCTCCGTCGCTATGATGTCCAGTATCTCGCGAGCAGATTCAGCCAGCCCGTCTAGCTGTCGTTCTTTGCGGTACGAAGGATCTTCAAGGCGGGCAATGTCGAACCACTGCGTCAGCATCGACCGACCAAATGCCGTAGAGCGACGACGCTTGGATGTAGGAAAAACGAAGCGGGCACCGGGAAGTAGGTCTGTGAGCTTGTGGCCAGATGACGTGAGGCCGGTTTCCAACAGCTCTGTGCCAAACTTTTCGCCATTGGAGCCCAGCCCGTGGAGGAGGATGAGTGTATGACTGTGCGGTCCTAGCGGTTCGACAACATAAAGTCTCTCGCGTGCCGTGAGGCTGGTCATCGAAGATGAGCTGGGGGGAGACATCCCGCGTTTTGGAACCATTTCAAAGCTTGACCGCGCCCGCTCGTCTTGGGAGGAGAGTTGAAACAAGCAAAGATGAGGCGGGCCGAGAAATCACTCCGTAGAGATGGATTGGTAAATGTACGAGGTGCCTTACTATTGGCCAAGCTCAAATGCTCCGTGCCTTGTCATGCCCTTCGCCCCGCTGCCACGGCCCAACACCTGTCAATTGCTGCCGTGGGCGAGTTTTGTCCCAAACAGAAAGATGCTGGCCTTTTGTAACCTGTTGGCTCCCGTGGAGTCGTACTTGACTCATTGAGTCACTCGGCTACATGGCGATGGCGATGTTTGCAAGCTGCAACGAGGCTAACTGGAGTCAATGAACGAATCCCAACCAACCATCCCCGCTTCAAAGTTATGAGACTGATGATGGATAGTATTGGACGGCTGTTGGCATATGCTCAATGCTGTATCGTGCGCTTCCGCTGTTCCCTCAATAGCCTTGGGTTGGTACGTGCCGGAAGTATTGACGTTGCGGCGTCATTCAACTACGGCAGACGCATATTTGGCCCATGACAACAGATTGGCCTGTAGAAGTATTTGAAAAGCATTACCAATTTACCACTTCGGCATAATGCACCCACAGAAGTAACCACCAGAAATGTTAAATCGAAAGGATGGAACAAGAAATCCGTTATAGCCATATAAAACATATACTACGAACACAAGGAAATAGCATCTTTAGCTTCTTCCGCGCCATATTCTATCTGGCCGTGACTCATGCCACCCTATCCTCTTGTTGCATTGTCGGCGGCAGACTGCCCAAGAAGGTCTGCGCTGCTGCTAGCTGCTCAGTCGAAGGCAAATTAGCAATCATCAGGTACAAAACATCCTACACGTCAAGATTAGCACGCGTAACTACAGAATACTAAGCATCTAGACAGTCAATCAATGCCGCAACATACCTCATGCATAAACTTCTTGACACCTCGAATCAGCGCCCCAGGACCAACTGTCCCCAGAATCGTCGGTCCCCTCTTGCTTCTCCTATCCGTTCTCTGATCATGCCTTTCTGCTCGCCGTTCACGCCTGGCCATGTTCCTCTCGCTGATCCTGCCTGTCGCCGCACCGCCGGTGAGCAGGGCTATCAAGCTGCCGCTGCTCGCGGGATGATTCGGGTCAGAGTAACGCGAATGGAACTCGGGCTTGACGCCTAAATTAGCCAGTCCACTACCTGGATTTTCCTTTGCAAACTGGGCCTGGCCCCGTTTATCCATGTACTCCATGGCGAAGAGCATGCCGCGCTTCACGCTGTTCGGCTGCTTGGCCGCTTTTTCAACTGCATTTCTCCCTTGGGCGGTACCAGCCATCTTATCCAAGTCGGGGAACACCAGGGGCGCCGTTTCAGGCCACTCAAAATTCGTCGTCGCATTCGAAGCCTGCATTCTCTTACCCATTCGGCCAGTCGTGCCTTGGCCGGGACCAGATACGCTGTCCGCTGCCTGCTCCGGTGCAGCATCGAATCTAGCCTGACTGACGACTTCGCCGGACCGGCTGGGCTTCCAAGTCAGGATGACAGCGATGAGGCCGAGCGGCCGGAAGAATTCGGCGTTGATCTTGTTCAGGAAGGCGTTTGTTTTGGAGCGACTGTGTGCTTGGAGGCCGACTTGGGTCGCAATCTGCGCCGAGATGGCCACGGCAATGGTGATGGGCTCTGGGACGTTTTGCACAGCAACACTGGCGACATTAATGGCGTGGATCCACGGCGACGGCCTTGTTGCCAGGTTCAATTGCTTGATAAAGTCCATAAACGTGGGCTGGTCAATGCCCGCGTTCTCGAGCACAGGTGCGTATGCGTGGATGAACCCGCGAGAACGCTCGCCTGGTCGCCGCTGGGGAACAATGACCGGCACTGGCAGCCGATTTTTTTCGGATGGGGGCTTTGCTCGTATTTGGTGATTGGAAATAAACCGACGAGCCATGTCGTCTGCATCGTCTTCGGTAGCGGTTGCATAGTCGGGTGGCGGTTCGAGCTCGGTCTGCGCATCATCAAGCTGCCACGCCGCCTCATCCAACTCAGGGGAGGCTTCTTGGGCATCTTCGTCGCTGTCGGACGAAATGGGTTCATCTTGGGATACTTGTTTGCTTCCCTCGCCGCCAGCGACGGCCGAGCCCGAGGTGATGCCATCGCCAGCTTGGGAGCTCTCGCCAACCTCATTTTGCGCCCCTTCTGCTGCGGCCGCGGCCTTTTTCTTCTCGTCCTTTTTTTCTTTGTGGTGGTGAATGCTCTCGGAAGCGAAACCCATGCCGCCGGCCACAGCTCTCACAAGGCCACTTATTGGACCTCTGCGGCCGACTCCTCCAGCGCCAGACGCGGCTTCGTCTGATCCATGGCGGCCGGTATTGCCTGCGCCTAAGACGTTATCACGATGATTCGACATTGATTCAGGACGGGTCTCCTATGAACGCAAGGAAACGGGGTGCCAAGATGACTTTTCCCCAGCGAACGGACTTGGGAATTGAAGCATTTTGGAGAGGTATGAGCTCCTCAGCAAGAGTAGGCTTGTGTAAGATTCATCCCAAATGCGGAGCTATCGAACTCTGAGGACTCAGGTCGGCTGCTGATAGCTCATGGAGGCGTTTGTATAGTTTTGTTGTAATTGGCCGGATGGAATGGGTTGCTGGTTTTGGCATCCGTCACACCGGCATCATGGTATGTGGGGGATCGACAGCAACATGGAGATCTCGTAGAATTTAAAATACCAAGATTCTGCTGAAAGCTTGGCGATTGATATTTGTGTTGTGAAAACATGCTGCACCATAAGGGTTGCTTAAGAATAACGATTCTTGCAGGTTAACATAAACTACGGCAACTATCGAGCTACAAGTTATACATCAAAGAGATCTGGGAAAAAAGGCAGTTTGCGCCACATCACCATCTGCTGCAATTCAAATCATGGAGCAATCTCTTCGTGATGATGCCGATACGCGCCGACGTAAGGACTCCAAAACACACCCATGGGGTCCCATGACTTTTTCAAGTGATGAAGCTCCATGATTCTCTCGCCCGTAAAGAGATCCTTCAAAGGCTCCTTGTATCGCATTATATTCGGAATCGTCCTCGGTGTCGCACCATCCTCGCTGCGACACAAGTGCAGCACATCATCTGCATATGACGCCAGCTTCTCATGGGAAGATTGCGTGGTGCACCAAGTCGCCACAACCAGATTAAACCCGCGATCCCGTGCCTCGAGGAACATGTGCTTCCCCGGGTCCGAGTTTCCGTTGGCCTCCAAGACGGCCGGATTAAAGGACTGGAGGAAGACCAGGGATCTGTGGGCATCCGACAGCTCATCGGTAACGGCGAGCCATTTCGTAAAGGTCGAGGTAATCATTTTGGCATAGATCTTTGTCAGTCGCGCGCCACATGTAGATTTCAACCCTCCATGAACATTCAGAGGCTCTAGCGCGTCATTCATACTGGTGGCATCGATCATCTTTGAGTCTACCCCAACGGCGGCGTCAATCAGGTCCGACGCGAACAAGACCGAAGCGGCTTTTTCGGCATCACTCGCTGGACCGAGATACCTGGCGGAAAGAATAATGGTAGGATTTCCGGCCATGGGCGCACCAGGGGGTGCCCGTTGGAAGACGAGCTGGGTGTAAAAGGGACCGGGGACGGGAAGCAATGCCAGGTAAGCCTTGACAGCGTGCTCCAACGCGGGAGGCGGGAAGACCATGACCCGTGTCCAGATCTTGTTGTTCGTGAGCTGGAGATCTGCGAGGGGATAGACCTTTATCGTGGCCGATACAACAACCCCATGCCCTTGCCCTGCGCCGCACAGCACATTGAATAGCGCTGCCTTTGCGCTTGTAGATTCTGCGTCGACGTTGATCACCTCTTCATCGGCCGTAACCATCCGAAAGGATACCGCGTTGTCGACCATGTATCCGCGTAGTCCCACATGAGCATTGTGTCCTCCGCCCAACAATGATCCGACAACGCCGACGGAATTCGAGTCGCTCAGGGGTGTGTAGAGACCATTCTCGGTGAGACACTTGAGAAGCCGGCCGGTCGTAACACCACCTCCGACTCGCACGACGCCAGCATCTTTATCAATGTCTATGGACTGGAATAATTTCATGTCCATGTATAATGTGGACGAGTCGACTGGGACAAAGGTGGCGTGACTACCGCCGCCAACCACAACGGTCAGGTGGTTGCTTTTTGCGAGACGGATCGCAGAGATGACATCTTGCTCTGACCGCGGTATGGTGACAGATGCTGGTTGTGATACGTGGAGGTCGGACCACCTCGATATGACGGCCGCGGTAGCATCTACATCAACATTTTGGGTGGTCTGATGCTCGGCGAATGGCGCCGGCTTTCGTTCGGCTGCCGCCATTTCGATCCGCCGTATTTATTGAATCACTGAAGCAAGGAGCTGAGGCAATTACAATGGCTGCACAGACGATCAAGAGGGTATCAAGACGCTCGACGTCTTTTTATAATCTGAAACCTATAATAGAGCGTTCAGGCTTACTGTGGCGTCGGTGTAGCTCCCTCCATAGTATCGTGATATAGCGTTTTGTGGCGTATTGAGCTTGCAGACTGTTGACAGTGGGCGTTACACCTTTGCGACACTCGCTGAGTCCTGAGCCTATGAGCATATGCTGCGGTCGTTGGAGGCTGTACCTGTGAGACGTTGCAATTCGAGGCCTCTAGGCGCGAATCTCAAGCGCCACGGTTGATCATTGCCATCAAGGTCTGGACCAGCCTGATGCGAGGCGCCTCATTTGGACTAGCCTAACGATCGATATTCTAGATCCGTCTATTCCAGCCGCGTATGATGCAGAAGATAAACGCCCTATGCTGTAGGCGGCTCCTACTGTACCCAACTTGTCGGCAGAGGTTCTTCTGTCTTGGGCTGGGCATGCTCTGTTTATAGCATTTGGTGAAGTGTCTCTTGAAGCTAGCTCATGTATTTGAGGATTTAATACATATTTAACCCTCATCAGAATCTGATATATGGGTCTATTCTCAAGTGATTTGCATCGGCTCCATGTCGTTCTGGCGGGAGTGCGTGAAGCCATGCGGTGGAAACAACGTCATCTTAAAGCTGTTACCAAGCCTCCGGAAAGTCATCGATTGAATGGTACTAAGCATAGCGTTAGGAGTTAAATTTGTAACCACTCTTTTTCGAGCGACCACACTTCCAGAAACTGGTACATATTAACGTAGTTTTTTGAGGTGTAATAAGCATCTTCCGAAAAACACTGGCTAGAATCTATACGTGAAATACGTTTTACTAACTTGGAACACTTTTTTGGGGGCGAATTGACCCGGCGTGCATTGGTTTGCGTCTTACAATCCTTTTTTTAGGCTGCGGCGCTGCTGTGCGCCTCGGGCAGTTGAATCCGAAGCGGGTGGTAATAACCAGACAAGAAATGGATAAGTGACACCATGTAACGACGTGATTGTCAGCTACAATATATACTACAGATGAATGATGGTCCCCAAGTTGTCAATTATCGGGATTTTATCGTAAACGCACCCTCTACGTACATGTCGCATATTCTAGATGCAATAGGCTCCTCATCCACCCCTTGCTTGTTAAAACCCTCCCGCGGCGCAGATTTTAGCAGCCTGGGCAGTATACTTGCGATAAGCAGTAGGAACAGCCGACCGCTGCACTTTTTGGCAAAGAGTAGCAGCATCCATAGTTTTCCAGCCACAAATAGCCGTCATGTTCTTGAAGAACTCGCTCGCGGAGTAAGCGGCATCCATATCACAACAAATATCCTCGTAATACATGGCACGCTGCTGGAAAATTCCAACACTGTCGTGGCCAGAGCCAATCCCGTTGTTCGGGTACTTCAGAGACGCCGGGACACCGTTATTAGCCAAGATGCGCAAGCTCGACTGACCCGTGTTAGTTTCTTATCATAGTCTCTCCAAAGTGAGCAGGGTGCACGAACCTCGGTGAGACCAGTAGCAATGGCAGGCTTGCAGCCCTGTTTTCCGAGTCCCTGTTTCTTGGTTTGGGCAATGATAGCTTGAGCGTGGCGGTCTTGAGACGCGTTCAGGCCGGGGAGGTTGCCCGAGCCGCCCGAAGGAGGAGGATCGCCGCCGTTGCACTCGCCAGTAACCATGTTGGATGTTCCGGTCTTGACGTACCAGTAGGCTATGTAGCAGCCGTCAGAGGTCTTATCCTAGAGACTGTCGCCTGAGATGCTCTCTCCGCGGGTCTGACAAGTCACTTCCACATCCTCCCCAAGCTGGTATTGCTTGACTACGTTGTATTTGGACCGGTGCCTTGACGAGCCATGTAAGCTTCAGGCACATCTAGCTTAGGAGGGCGCCAAAAGATCCATCTTGCATGAGGCTAAAAGAACTGGGTAGTTTATGCAAGGCACACATTTCAGCCGCAGCAAGGAAACTTAAATATTAGTATCTAAAGTTATAGACTCTTATCAAAGAACATTGGTAAGGAACAAGTTCAGCTGGTAGCGCTGTTGCATGGGCACAAAGTCATAGAAGGCAGCATCGAGAATCAATTTAGCCGCAGCACCAGCTTGGATAGCGCACCGCTGTTTTAAGAGCGACTGTTGAGGTTGGCGAGGAGTTCAAATAGTGCTCATAACATTACGATGTCGTTGGAAATGATACTTGGCTGCGAGCACCAGGTATAGAACCCCTTGAATGCACTGGAGTTTTAACAACAGTATAGTGTGACTGTGTAACGACCCTCTCTTAAATGATTCTGCGAGAATATATTTCATTACCGGCATGACTGGCATTCGTGTCAAGGTAGCACTTTTGGAGTGTGAGATCAAGGCGAGCCTTGGTGTGATTTACGTGGACCAATATACCATCTACCCTCGCTTCCTGGGGCTAAAGTTGGATGAAACGAGGCTGACCCAAAGGCCGGCATCAGAGAAGCTCGTAGTCATTATGCTTCGATCCTATAGTGCTTCTTATATTATTAATAGTAAAGAAGAATTAAATGATTCTGGTGATCATGTGTCACACGGTTACACGGGGGCCACGATCACGGGACCTAGGGCAAAGGTCCTCACCGACTTCTTGTATCTATAAAACTTTGGTCCCTCAAGGACTTGAGGAAATCAAGGACCTTTAATACCAAATAGATGAATTGAGCTATCGACTCCACGCCCTCACAGAGCCCTTGCCACATCAACCGGTTGGCCGTTTCACACGAGCCACTATGGTTTGAAACAGAAATTATGACAGCTATATCCCTTTTGGGCTGCGTGGGCATATGTTATTCTGCAGTTTTGGTGTTAATTGTCGGATCCAGTACTTCTCGGCATTCTACAACGAGCCATCAGTTCCTTAGCCAAGTCACTTCTACCGAAACGGTTGGCGATGGAGATTGGAGTACTACCATCGTACTGCTAGCATCGGGGTCAGCTCCTGCCCGCAAAAGCACATTGACGACGTCCGCATGGCCGTATCCGACGGCCCAAGACAATGCAGTCCGCCCACTACGATCTTGTCGATCGATTTGTACTTGTTTGCTGTCGATAAGAGCCTGGACAGTATCCGGCGCGCCGGTCTGTGTAGCCCACGCCAAGGGTGTCCAACCATCTATGTCTTCAGCATCCACCCCGGGACATCCGCAGTCGAGAAGTTTCACAACGACTTCGCAGTGCCCAGCGGCACTAGCCCATGATATGGCTGTTCTCTTGTCCTTGTCGATACTTGCTCTGCTCACCGTACTATTCTCTAGAAGTATCTCAACTGTGTTAATCCGACCATTGCCTGAGGCCCAGGAGAGAGCGGATCTTCCCTTATTTTCCGGGATGTTGGCTCCGATACCAGGTAATTTGAGTAGCATCTCAAGCATGTCGGCCATGCCATCCCCAGCAGCCCATGATATGGCTGTGCGCCCTTGTTTATCTCTGCGATTGATGTTTACGCTGCGTCGCTTGGCAAGGCTCGAGACTGTAGAGCGATCCCCCCCTCCTACTGCCCAAAAGAAAGGGGTTTCACCAGAATGATCTGGCTCATTATGATTCATCGTTGCAATCAGGCCGTTTCAGCAATTCCTTGACGATATCGTTATGACCACCGCCGCAAGCAAACGAGAGAGCGCTCCTCTCCCCTCGCCCTAGCATGTGGATGTTGGTCCGTTGGTCCGCCAAAAATTTGACGACACATGCGAAGTTGCCGTGCTCAGACGCAGTTGTCAGTGCCGTCTGTCTCTCCAACTCCTTGGAGTTGGGATCTGCACCGGCGCGAAGCAAAGTCGCAACAATCCTATCGTGGCCCAGCCGGGCAGCCCAGTAAAGACTTCGGTCCTTGTGCTTGAGAAGCCTTCTGTTCACCTAGTAAATCATTCAAAACACTGTTTAAGTTGAACCGTGACGCTAAAACAACAGGATCCTTCTCAAAACTATCGGCATCTACCGAACCCACGGCCCGCGTTTGGCAGAAGCCCAGCTAGTTGCGGCAGCATGCAGTATTCACCTCTAGAAGTGATCTCGCTCCTTTCTTCAGATCGGGTGATGCAACTGCCTCGCAAATGGCAAAGTGCTTTGCCCAGTATAACGCCGCATAGCTGTAAAACACGAAATTGGAACTAAGTGCTTTACAAATATCGGAATACCGGACATCTGTTTCGTCATAAAGCACATGAGAATTGAAGTTGAGATCTTCGTTGTCCTAAAAATCGCCTGTAAGATCGCCGATCGGTGATTCGGTAAGACACAGTGACGCATCCAATGACAGCTCAGTCAACGAGCTCTGCGGCTCAAAAAGTCGATTTGAAAGTTATGAAGGAGCAAATATTGTATACAGGCAGTAGCCAATCGAAGAGCGGAGGTTTGCGCATTTACCGCGCGTAAAGGAGGAAGGCTGTCGCGCTCATCGACACTTTGCTCTAGAATGCACTCCTTTACAGACTGGTGGACCAGAGAAACATGCAGCGCCGAGACCCTAACCAGGGCCTAAGGATTCCCTAGACAGTATCATCGCATTCTAAGTATCTCGTATTACATCGTTGACGGTAAAATGCGTTGATTTTAAAGTGTATGCGAAATTGAGTTCGTCCAGATGTAAGGGCCGTGAGCTTGCTAGTAGCAGCTTCAGGAGATGAGAGGCATCATTTAGGTGGTGAGTGGGTATACTAGTCAAGTATCGCTTGTACGTGTTCGCGAGATCCTCCGGAATGCTAGCAATAATCTTCTCTAATTCAGTCTTAGCGGTGAGGAAGCTCGTCTTAAGAGATGCTAAGAAAACTTGAATCCATAGAGATGTCTGACCTACTTTAAGCATCATACTTTGGTACAAATATTGCCGTACATGGTTTAAGAACTATCGATTTTGAGAGATTTCATTGACCCGTTCCCGGATATATTTTCGTAAATCGTCCACATAACCAGGTTAACTGTCGTCGATCGATATTCGAGACTGTAAAACTTGTTTGGTGGTAGCGTAGGATTCAAGAAGGAAAGGTCGGCTAGTCAGAAGGAATTTAACTCTGGCACCCTATGACACTGAATAGAGAGAGTTTGATAGCATTTCGGAGATTGAATCTAGCAACTGACGACAGGAATTCTTCTCGCACTCATCGAGGGCGTCCAATATTATGTATGTAAAGCGAGATATCGGATCTTGAAGTATCTTGAGGAATAAACTCCACAGCAGGGCAAACGATTGGATCATGCTTCGACCCTGTAGATCGTAGACTTTTCGAACGTGATCAATCATGGAACGATGGCGACTAATAAATTGGAAGATAAGACCCATAAGAACCGCCCTTGCAACTGTTTGCTTGTTCTTGTTCTGACAAAATTATACGAGAACGGTCCGTGATCGTGCGTCGATTTCTCCGAGGTGTTAGGCCAGAGAATAGGAAAGGGTTGTTTTACCGCAGCCGGGGTGTCCGGTTAACCAAAGCAGAGCATTGCTACCCTTTTCAAACCAGGCCACGAATGCATTATAGTCGCGTATCCATTGGCAAGTGCCTGCCACGGGCTTTGGAGGCTGTTGCTCATATTGAGCTAGGTTGAAATCGTTGAGCAGATTGACGCAGGTTACTTTCACGTCATTGAAGACTTAAAAGTTGTTAGGGAATTGTTGCGGCATTGTTAATTGCTGTATAACTCACTCCTATTAGACGAATGAGTACTTGCACGCCGGAGCGCCAGATTAACCTGTGGTGACTGGCGGACAATCCTTCGGAGCGCCCTCACCACATCTAGGTAGCTGAATGACGTGTCACAGTCAAAGCGACAAATTGTTCGATGGTCCTCCCACAGAGGCATTGAGTCCTCATTAGCTATGCCAAGCTCAGCAGATGAACGGTCCACAGTCTGTGTTCAAGCCGTTAGAACATCGTAGGTTACAGGGGATAGACAACGGAAGAACAACTGAATCTAAGTCATTTCCATACCAAGGAAGAAAGAGGCGGCGTCACTCTGTTCTCATAAAAGGTAACCACCGACAAGGTTTGCAAACGGTGCCGAACTGAGATGAGGAGATTCTGGAGCGCGTTCGAGTTGCAGCTGAGATATACTAAACGCTCCGTTGTGGCGGCTCTCGGCCGCAGCCCAATGGTTGTAGAGGCTTTGCAGGCGTTCACGATAGTGAAGACTACATTGGCAAAGTCGGCGGTTTTACTGCCTCTATGAGGTGTGGCTAGGAATACCACACCTATTGTTAATCTCAGTACCCCCCCAGTGGGTTAATACCATGCATTACGAGAACGGAAAAATACGAATCTGCTTGCAGACAAGCCCTCCAAGGCTGTGACATACGAAAATGATGGAGCGTGTTCGCTGGCTGTGCGTTAGATGCGATAAGGAGTAATACCGTAGATAGAAGTTACCTCTGTGGAGTCCTCTATGCGATCTCTTAAAGAGCCAAGGAACTTCCGTCTAAATTCCGGCACCCTTGCACGCATATCTACATCCATGAGTTTTGAGGGGTAGCTAAAGGTATATACACGGCACCCTGGCAAGAAACTCGGGAGAAAATCGCGAAGCCACAGCTTTCCTGTCGACGGATGGGTTCATGTTTTGTACGCATCCCCATTAAGGCCATATGCACGCGTTCACGAACGGGAAGACTACATGGGCAAAGTCGGCGGTTTTACTGCCTCTATGAGGTGTGGCTAGGAATACCACACCTATTGTTAATCTCAGTACCCCCCCAGTGGGTTAATACCATGCATTACGAGAACGGAAAAATACGAATCTGCTTGCAGACAAGCCCTCCAAGGCTGTGACATACGAAAATGATGGAGCGTGTTCGCTGGCTGTGCGTTAGATGCGATAAGGAGTAATACCGTAGATAGAAGTTACCTCTGTGGAGTCCTCTATGCGATCTCTTAAAGAGCCAAGGAACTTCCGTCTAAATTCCGGCACCCTTGCACGCATATCTACATCCATGAGTTTTGAGGGGTAGCTAAAGGTATATACACGGCACCCTGGCAAGAAACTCGGGAGAAAATCGCGAAGCCACAGCTTTCCTGTCGACGGATGGGTTCATGTTTTGTACGCATCCCCATTAAGGCCATAAACTGCTATTATATCGACCAGGAAACTCTCCAAGTGCGAAGATTCTGGCCAGATCTCGTCGGTCTTCACGTCGGTCTTCAATTCGAATAAGCCATATTGATGCTGATGTTCTGCGTGATGCTGGCTTGGCTTGGCTATATCTTCTTTCTGAGCGCTTCTGGATGCCTCCGAATCCGAGCTAGCGGGTGAGCTAGAACGCTTGAAGACTTTTTGTCTGAAGCGCTCGACGTGCTTCATGTCTCAAGGCGATGGACTTTGATTATCTTACTAAAGATTCAACGGGAGGAGACTCTGGGTTGAGGCTGGCGAGGCCATTGATGTGAGGATGAAAACCTACAGAGGGAACTGTCGAACACGGCCCGTGCCGCAAACCCCACCAAAAACGACTCCACTCTATCCATGTCGAGTCACCAGTCACGTGCAGAGCAATTAAAAAAATCCTATTCTCGCCACCAACAGTTACCAGACAACAATTGCTGCTAAGTCGTTGAGCGTCCTGGGTGATGATGAATCTGGGAAGAAGACTCTCATCGGAAACCCCATCTACAAGATATGGAGCAAATGGCAATCGGTTGAGCCGATGCTGACGATCGCTAGTGTGGACTGGAGCTACCACAAGTGGAAGAGCTAGAGCGTGAGGGCATTCGACAATACGCCGAAATCACAACATTATACAGGAGAGAAGGCCATGATTAATGTTTTCATAGTCCGTCACTGCCTTTATGGTTCAAATTACGTCGCCACATGTTTCAAGTTCGATAGTATGCCCCAGCTAGTCAGTTACCCGATGTCGTACTCTGGGTTATTGATGCCACGGATGCAGCGAATTGGACTCCATCGGCACAAAAACTTGCGACTTGACTGTCCAGCGGAACCTTGCGGCCTCGATAGAATGCAAACCCAAGTGCTGTCGCATATGCCTTGAGATTCCACTTCTCTAAATCCTGAGGCACTAAAACCCTCCCCGAGCTGAATTCAATAGCGGCAATGGTTCTGATACAGTTGAGCAAGTAGGACGAAATTCCGCCGGTAACCAGAGTGTGTTTTCCCCGTTAAGATGGAAACAGTTTGTTTTTTATATACCCGCCGCCATTTTGGTAAGACGACAATAGAGATATAGTTAAGCCAAGATGAACGGAGGATGATGCTCCACATCTCGATGAAAGAGACTCTGAAGGGGAGGATCAAGACGATTATTTCGTATGCGGCCGTTTTGAGCCGGGCGTCTTTCCCAAGTAACCTCCTTGGCAGCCACGACAGAACACGTAACATACGTTTAAGGATTGGTATAATTCCTCCATTGCTTCATGGCAATCACATAGTCTCGCGCTAATATGGAAGGTTATTTTTACCAGTCACATTTAACTATAATTATGTCAAGGTCATCAATTTCTCGTCTAAAGCTTAGGTAGTTCGATCCAAAGTTGTGTAGCAGTTGATTGTCTACAGTATTCTTCCACGGCTTCCACCTAGTTCTCTTGGTCATAGAGGGCCGAAAACATTACAGATGAAGGCAGACTAGCGCTGATATTCAAAATTGAGACTACATCCTTTAACAGAGGCTCCATTGGAGTCATGAAGGACAAATCCTCACACTTTCCTCTGCCTCCACTAATTTTAACTCCAATTACATACCCATGCCTATTTTCCCTTTCTATGACCCATGACCCGGAGTCTCTTTCAAGAAACAAGGGTTCATCTTTGGCCCCCATGATTGTAATTTTTTTTGTCTTCCCACAATTCTCAAACTCAATCACAGTTAGATCATCGAGAATTTCTTCAGTTTAGCCTGGTTGGGCCCCCTGCATATAGACCGTCTGGCGTTGTCTAACTTGAATTTTCCCTTCAACAGTAGTGTACTCCAAGCGCCTGTATTGCTCAACGGCTTCGCAATCGATTTTCCATTGATCATGTTTCGAGAAGCAGATCGACATAGACCTCGGATGAGAGTCCAGTCCACACTAATAGCACCAATACCAATGTGTTGGCTATCAGTTGTTCAAAATGCGACTGGATTGATTGTGTTCTTGACAGGATATTGTCCATTTATTGCCTCTGTGAAACCAAAACAGGCACAGGTAGAATCTGTCTGGTCGGCACCGTCAGCTATTGCAGCTATAAAATCGCTGTCTACGAGCATGGGGGAGTGAAACAAGTCAGAGTCTTGGATTGCTTTCAAGCTCTATAAGCCAAAGTCAGTAGGCCCCTAATCTTCGACGATGGAAGTCATTCATTCTTCTTGGCCAACAAGGACAAGAATTTTGGCTTATCATGCATTTAACTGTAATTGGATCGGGTAGAAAGGTTGTGATGTGAGTGCCACTCAATCTTTTGTCGATATTTGCTCCCTGCAAGCATGAACGGTCAAGGACGTATTCCACCGTAAGCAAGACTGATTAGGCGTGGAGTTCTGGGATGACCAATGATGCCGTCGATCAGATGTCTGATATTGTTTGAGCTGAGTGGAATACTCTCGGTGAAATAAGCCTGGGATAGCGATAATGAGGCTCACACTCAGGGGGTTGTCCTACTTTTGCGGTCTTTACCCGATCAAACTTGCGGTTGCAGTTCAAGTTCAGCACACGATTACAGGTTGTCCGCTCGCTCGCAAGACGATGTGTAACCAGACGGAATGGGGCCGCTTGAGGTTTCTTGAATATCTATGGCCTTTTATTGCCATTCTGGACTTGTATTGTTTGTCAAAAAACAAAGCAAGTCACGGCATAGCTCACGACGTTTCTCTCCAGCGTCTTAACCGGACTACAGGGTGTCAATTGCAGAGTAAAGCGGGTGAATGTTCACCTTTCCGCCGTTCCTTATGCCGAATCTTTTCTGACACTTAGATGCCCTCTATTGAGTCCCCCTTTTTTCATTTTTTTTATAATTTAATATGGTTCCGCTTGCTTTCAAATAAAACACGTTCGTGTTTCTATGCAAATCTATGGATTTTTCACAACGCGGGCCTAGTTAAAGACCAGATCGCTTTAAAACGTAATCTTCGCTCTTTTTAGCACAGACTTGCACACACACTATATATAGATTTGTGTGTGTGTGTAATAGATGGATGTCTTTGTAGGATTTCGGACTACCACGTCTGAGTTGTGTGCGCGAGTCACGTGCTCCACCCTCGTCGGCAAATGTACCGAGATCCATAACCCCTGGAACATGGGGCACGTAGATGGCTTTAGCTGGCTTGAATTAATTGTCAATCTTCCCCAGCAATCGTAGTACGCAGCCAGGGGTTAGATGCTCGGCTCTCAACTTTCTGATGTCATCATGCAGAGCGGAACAAGCGGATATACTGTCGTGTAGAACCACAGCCAAAATGAGTTGTCCAGTCCTGATCAATAACCACCGAAACGCCTCCATCGACCGAGTGTTATTTAACCCAAAAACTGTCAAGCAAACCAATAAGGCCAAATTCAAACATGGACACAGAATACAGGCGGAAATGGGTTGCCAAAGCCTGCCAGAGATGCAGGTCCATGAAGTCCAAGGTATGGTCTCAATTAGGACGGGACATCACTGCCGCGAGGGTAAATCTGCTCATAGTGCGACGGACAACCACCGGCCATCATCGTGGATCGCGGGAGGTCGCCCGAGCTGAAGTGAGAGAAGTCTATCCAATACATAAATAGAATACCAGACACGGCGTCGCTCTTCAATGTCTAGTGAATGATTGTGTTGTGTATGGTCTATATCTTCACTTTCTACGTGCAGCCCAATACTTTGAGCTACACGCACTGCTTGTCCTAGTATTGTCCAGCAGCTGTGACTGTTAACGTATCCTTGTATAGTAATTTCTAAAAGATGGGACGTACCTTCCTGTCCTGCACACGACCAGGAGATAAAAACATCGCTCTAAAAGAAGTGAGACCTGGGCAAGCGAGCGTTCTAGGTTAGACGTTGGCGCTAAGGTCAACGCGCACAAGAAATACTTCCCATGACGCACATCATCAGCTTCGTCTTTGCCTGGTAATGCTCCATAGTATCTGATAGCTCATATGGTGTCTGCAAGAATCAGAACTAGGTCCAAAAGAAACTTTTTGAGAAGACATGGCCTACATAAAAGAGCGGTCCTGACGTTGCTTCTACCATTCTAAGCCTAGGGGCTATCTTGGTCTCCAAGTGTCTCATAATCTTGCATAAATTGTGATTCGGGAATGAAAGGAAAGGCAATGTGAATGGTTGTAAAGTACGCAATTATGTATTGTTGAGTCCCCCCCCCAAGACCGGCAGCAAGATGGTCTTCCAAGCGGCCTTGTCAGAGGACACCAGACTCTCGCCCTGGTCATAGCTCTCAAAATCGTCCTCTGTCCTTGCTCTCCAGTCTTGCTTTTGGAGAAAATGTCTCACGAAATTGACAAAATGAATGTCGCTGACCTCGCCAAAATAGCCTGGAGACCGATCGACGTGGCTAGATGGTGATTTACTGCGAGAGTCGCTAGGCACGGCACGTGCTATTATTTTTGTCCTTGTGCTGGAGATGGCGTCGTCAAGCTGTGTTTTGATTCTTGAGCTCTTTTAAAGGACTGCCTCTTGTTCCGGGCCAGACGGAAGCAGGGAAATGACATGGTCGGGTAGTCTTTCTTGTTGGTGTATCGCATGGTGCAAGTTCGGTAGGCCCTCAGAGACACCGGGACTGAAGCGATCGCTTGTTCCAGTCCGCAAGCGAGGTCTCTGCAGGCGATAAATGCTGGTATATCCGTAACCCCGATATCTAATGCATGAATCCGAGCTAGTGACGCCGAGATTGATTGGACTGGCGATGTTGTCGAAGATAGAGCCGACAATAGTCCATCTGCAGGTGACTATTTTCTTGCAGTAATTGCTTTCTCAGGAATCGTTGGCCGCGTTATCGGAGGTTTGTATTGCCCCCGGCGAAGCCATTTAGCCTCGGAGGACCTGCTGAATACGAAAGACCTTGACGGAACAGCTGGTGCAGTGGAAAGTAGCACTCCCGAGAGTTCTCCGCTTTGATCTGGGACATACGTTTGAGCAGTCGCATATATTCAGCAGACAGGCCTGTCCCTACATCTCTTCACCGGCTTCCAGACACTCGCCCAGTCCTCATCATTTGACTACTCATACCGGAATACATTACCCATAAAGTACCATCTTCGCGCGCTCATCTACCGGCCGTACCTATGCCACCCGCTCTTGATGCACCTGGGCGACCCTAGCGCAACCATCAGCCAGTGGACTGGCCACTGATACGCGTAAACGAGAGAACATGCATCATGGAAGCACGCGAGACGACACGGCTGCTCCACGGCATCTCTAGCAAAGAAGACCTGGTTCATGACTTTCCATGGTGGCAGATGAATCTCAGAGCATTGACAAGAAAACCACATTTTCATTTTTTAAAAAAGCTTAAATAATCAATAATAAATCTAATAAAATACTAAATTATAATAATAAATACATAAATTAGCTTATATAAAAAAGGGGGTCCCTTTAGCTTTTTATAAGCTTAAAAACTAGATTATATAGTTTTCTAAAAACTTATTATACTATACTATACTTGTAAGATTGTAAGAGGGACTGGAAGTCAGGTAGCCAAAGTAGGGGTAGCTGTATTGTAATAACTAAAGCTTATCCTATTTTCTAGTTGTGCGAGATGCAGGGGATATGGTCCCAAAGCCCCCGTTCCACGTGACGTTGTCAATCGCGTTGCAGGTGGGCGGGGTTTCCCAACCACCTTACAATACTATAAAAACTATATTTTATAGTTTCTTAAGTTTTAAGCTTATAAGAGTATATAAGGACTAACTTTTTTATTATTAGCTTATAATTTTAGATTTATATTAGTGATTCGTAAAACTTATAATTCTATAAGTATTTTATTAGATTTAATATAATTTTTTATATTAGAAACTATAAAAACTACAAAACTACAAAACTACACTACAGTCAATGCTCTGCCTGAGATGATTCATGTTTAGTCTGCGCCAGCTCCATCTTGCTTGTATCAAGCATGTTTGCAGAGGAAACACTTGAACTGTCATCCGGGCTCGAAACCGTCGGGCTGTCCGATGACGGGGAAACATGTCCCAAGCTTTTCGATGCTGTCAGCAAGAACTCGGCGGGAGCTGGAATCGCCCGGGATATGATGAAGGCCTGCAAGAAATCGGCGTGAGATGGAGTACGTATGAAACCTGGCCATCGCGATATACTTGCTAACTATTCACAGAGGATGCCAGCGGCAGCACCCTAAAACTGCGAGGGAGGGTGGAAAAGCATCCAGCCATTCACCAGACTTTCAGAACCAGGCATCCTACCTGAGTGCAATGCCGGCTTTGCTACATGTTGGTGATTACGGGCAACATTTTCTCGCCTCCAGTGGCCCAATGCCAACAAACTACTACTGGCCAGCAGAAATCGTGGACTCTATGGCATGGTCGGCGCAGTCTTTTTTTGGCCACGGAAGGCCGAGCCATGCAGAAGGCGTAGAGCAGAGTTAGGGTGAGATCAACGAAAATGTGTAACTTCAACGACGCCATACGTTGATCTATTCATATTCCCCGCCTCAAATACTGAAATTGTTTAGCAACTTTCCTCAAAGTCTTCCTTTGAATATGATGTTGCATATGTTGCCATTCCTCAGCTTTCTCAACAGTGACATGATGAAGCAGTTGCTGCTGCCATCTATTCACCATCGGAAGCCAATTCGCCATTGTACGCTATTCCTAGCATGATGGTTATAAAGTTTTTGAGGCTTTTTCTATGCTTGGCTTCATAAACCAGCTTCAGTCCCTTCGCTCTAGTATTATTCCCGAAGCCTCCCCATCTCCAGCAACCATATCTCCGAAAAGCCTGCTCAAAGAAATCAATTGCCGCAATAGTCCAACGGCATGGCGTGTCTGAAAATGTTGAAGGGAGAGAAAGGGGGGCGAAAAGAGCGGTGAGAATTGGATCAATCGCACCGAACAGGTCCTTACATCAAAGTACAAAATCTTTCCAATTTCTCAAACAGACAGTCTTTAAAAAGCTGAGAAGAGCCGTAAGTGCTGAAGAATGTTGATTCAATAACTTTTCATGCCTTTGCACTATGCGAGGATAATTTTTTGGACGTTGGTTGGACGCTAAGCCGAGATACCCACGACAATTTTGCGCAGGGGAATATATTTCAATGAGAGATTTGCTTCCATAAAAGGGTTTTGGGCCTCTTTGGGACATCATTGGCGATAGTATCTACTGAACTTCCATGAACACAATAAGGCCATGATTGATGGGCAAGTATTTGCACTGTCCATAAAACGTGAGCCTTTGTACACGATAATGGAACTACATTTCCGGTCAGTGGGAGTAGGGTTTCCCCAACGGTCTTGTTGCCCCATTACAAAGGGAAATTTTGGCCGTACCTAGGCCAGGGAACCGTGACTAACCACGCAAGACACCATGAGTACACGCATCGCGATGCGTCAGACACATTAGCCGAATTGGTGATTCATCACAGCGAAGCGCAACCATATGCTTGTGAGAAAAGATGTATGGTTAACTAACTCAGTTCTCAACATAGTTTAGTGCTGCGGAAATAAAATCTCATGTAGTGGAAATCTTGCGCCGCATAATTAGTGATTTTATGCCGCGAAGAAAGAACAATTTTCTTCTGGGGGCTCCACCCGCATAAAACTGCCTTCGCACTTACAACAGCATTTCAGACGGAATCCCTGCGCTGTCAGAGTGAGGTTTCAAGTGTCGCACTACCGATCGGCCACATCAAGCATTGGAGCATTAGAGGAGGAAAACTAGTGGTCGTCAGGGTACGAGACCGTAGACAGTGCTTGGAAAAAGCACTGCCGATCCGCATGACAATATGCTCGGCCGCAGGCGGGGCCATCTCTTCCGGTATATCTGACTGTGTGTAATCCCTCAAATGACCATCTCAGAACAGCATTGGTTCACATAGGGCCGAGGCACTTGACTAGTGAGAACCTTTGCAGGACGACTCGAAACAAGCCATGTCTAGCCGAATCAGGAAGCTGCTGATATCTACCTCATCTATAACCTTTTCATTTTAGGAAAGAGGTAGCTTATAAATACACAATCTGTTGAGGTTGTATGGGAAGACAGCGGCGCGCATAGACAGTGTTGCTATCACGAGCTTCCATGCGGATGGGCACACCCAGCTTGCAATGATCAATGCATTCTCGTTCCCAACGCATATTTGAGTTTTCAGTTTTTCACTGCCACTATCTAGCGCCGTTTTAAATGATACCATCTTTTCTAACGGACAAGCACACATGGCATCAAGTATAGGTAAAAGATGGAAGTCTGCCTTGTAAGCCCATGGCTTACCCTTGACGCTATCAAGACAGGCACGAAAGCAACGGCTACAAGAAAAAGGGCCGGAAGCCAAGGCATATAACTCAGTAGAATACATTCTCATTGCGCTTATTTCAATCTCGACCATGTGACTTGAGCTGTAATATTAGAAAACTCCCCCCTCGTTTCAGTTGATTGTATCAATTTTTGGTTCGCATTTTTGCTGTACTTCGATAGCCTTGAGGATTTTGATTATTGAGCCTGAATCATAATGCTCTCGGCGCAGGATGTTGGAGCAAAAGAATATCATAAGAGTCAAGTCGTAGCCGTCGTCCCATGTCAATAGCCGCAGTGACACTGATGTGCATGCAAAAACACCTATATACCCTTGTCGCTTCAATAACCTTCTCTGTAACACGGGAAATGACTGCTCTATTTCCCATCTTTTCCGAGCTTCGCCTGGCACTAGTTATTAAGATGGTTAGGAACACCAAGAGCGTTCTGGTGAAACACATGATATTCATCCCGTTGTGGGCCAAGACCAGGATTGGATCTTGTGTATACCTTGGGCTTTCGGCATTTGGGGCACGCAATCGAATGGCCATCTTCCGACGGCACTCGAGCAGACATGTAGGTTGAGAATTCATTAGACAAAGTTCAAACTGGCAGCCATATAAACACCATGTCCCGTCGTCATTTAGTTCCTCTCAGCATACACTACTTTCATTCATCAGACAGATACAGTTTAAGCACTCTTTTAACACAAACTCATTATTATGGCTATTGTCAAAGCCTTTGCTACTGCTATTATAGCCGCTCTCTCTTTAAGCGTGGCTGCCGCTCCTGCGCGAGACAACGCTCAAAATGATAAATATATCATCACTCTTAAGAGTGGTATTTCCTCTCGCGACGTCGAGTCCCATATGAACTGGGCCCGAGGCATCCACGATGCTAGCCTGGGCCGTCGTGCCCTGGATTTACCGGGTATTGAGAAGCGATATGACGTCGCTGATTTCCACGCGTACTTGGGGTCATTTGATAAAGAGACTCTTCGGAAAATCATGGAGAGCCCAGATGTAAGTCTACATACAGCATGGATAGTTGCTATCTTTTACATGAAATCCCACGAAACTGACCTCCGTATAGGTATTAGGCGTCGAACGCGATGCAGAGACAATCCCAATGGCGTTGACAACGCAGCAGAACCCTCCATGGGCTCTAAGCGCTATATCTAGTCGAACGCCAGGACCCCAGCCCTATCAGTATGACGATAGCGCTGGCAAGGATACTTTTGCATACGTTCTAGATTCAGGCGTCAACGCTAACCATGTGGAATTTGGCGGCCGTGCTACCATCGGCTACAGTGGCTACAGCAACAATAACCCCAACAAGGGTGTAGCCGATAGAAGTGGCCACGGAACTATGGTTGCCGGTCTTATTGCCTCTAACACCTACGGTGTGGCTAAGAAGGCAAATATTATTGCTGTCCAGAGTCAGAACTCGGCATCAGCTTTGCTAGACTCCATGTCTTGGGCTGTGCAGGATATCCAGAAGCAAGGCCGCGTCGGTCGGGCCGTCATTAACTACTCGGGAGGTAAGTAGGCGAGATTTTTGTTTCTCGCTCTTAGTATTCTTTGCGCTCTAACTAGAAGTAGGGATTCAGAAATTTGCTGATTCTAATCCTTTCGTGACCGAGAGTCCCGGAATTTCAATGGCCCGAATCATGGAGACGGCGTTTAACCAGGGAATTCTTTGTGTCATTGCTTCCGGCAACCAAGGGGTGGTAGTTGAACAATCCGACGCGCCTTATCAAGGGAACTCTACTAGCGCTTTAGTGGTTGGCGCCGTCGACGAAAAATGGGGCCATGCGAGCTTCTCCAACTACGGTCCCAGCGTTGATATCCTGGCTCCCGGTGCTAATGTTGTGACGACTACTATAGGCTCTGACACGGCTACAGTAACACAGTCGGGTACTTCGCTCGCAGCTCCTCACGTTGCGGGGCTGGCGTTGTACCTAATAACTGCCGAGAATATTAAGACGGCCGCGGAACTAAGGGCCAGGATCTTGGCTCTTGCCACCAAGAATAAAGTTACCAACGTCCCGGCTAACACGGTCAACCTGCTTGCGAGTAATAGGGCTCAGTAACCGATATATAGGGGACAGGGGGGGTTAGGAGTTCGTGACGGGATAAAGGCACGGGTTACTATTATCGACTGCGGTTTGCATGAAGCGATTGTTGACAAGGCAGAGACAAGTTCCCGAGGAAGACTCCAAACGAGAAACTTTTGGCAGAATATTTGTTTAAGTGGAGATAGTTAACAAATACTAATGTCACGTGGTTTACCTGTAGAGAAGTTTGAGCCGTAAATACTGTAAACCGCGACTAAAACTATTGGCGACAATGTCGTACTAAAAACTTCTCATCCCAAAGCTAAATATTTTGTGTAACTACATGTAAGTAACCTATTCCAGTAGGCAGTTGATACGGCCCCGTCAGGCCGGATCAGCAAGTAGCCACCATCCTTATCCCCCTTTCTCCAACGATTCCCGGGACAAAATCCATCACATCCCTTCGGCGCTGGCGCTGAAACCAGCTTGTCTTCTTTGACTAATTGTCGAAAATATTGATCGGTCATGCTGTTCAAGCGACCTGCCTGGTGTCACGATGATTATCAGGCTTGACCACTGCGCTATGGAGCAAAATCGTCGAGCAATAGCGGCCCCTGGTCGAACACCCTCGATACCCAACTTAAAAGTTTGCTCTCTTGGCCCTGACACCTAGCGATAGAACTTTGCCCTTTTTTGCTATATTTTGCCATCTATTTCGTTTCTGTTGCCGTACAATACAAACAACGCTCTGCTTATGTGACTGTGAAGCAGCTAGAGGGTTGTCGCCATCAATAGCAGCTGAGTTGGCGATAATTGCCGAACCTCAGCTCCCTATATTACGAGAGGGTCGAACAGCAACCAAATGAGTCAATCGTATGCAAAGGCACAGAGCCTGCACGAGTGACGGATGTCATCGACGGATGTCATCACTTCTTAAGAGCTGACTAGTACCCACCTATCTGTTGAAAATAGAGCAGTAATTCACACAGTGGAAAGGGCAATTATTGAAGAGGCTTTTGGCAGGCTTATTCGAATAAACTCAATTATATTGATGATTGAGGAAGGTCTCGGTTCGATACACTGAAAACCCTGAAAATTGACCCTACTGGTTCGTAAATCTAGATTCGTTCCGTATACTTGTTCCCTATTGCTAGATACTGGTTGTATTTGCTCGGCCTTGTCCTCGCTTCCCTTAAAATGAAGGACCAATAATCTGTTCTTACATGCAGCGCTTACATTCCAATTTTTAATCCGGCAGCGCGTTCACTTGAATGAGTGTGTAGCGGACTATCGTTGCGTGCCGCGCGCGTGCCGAACAGGGTGATGGGTAGACTCAATCTTGCATCTTCGGAAACTCGCCGCGTAGAAGGAAGCTTAAGCTATCCCTGTCTAGACCCCTATAATACTTTTATCGTTGCGGGCTCCTACATAGCCCCCAGTCATTAGCCAGTCCCGTCCCCTGGCGGAACCCCAACGGGTCTCAGGACGTGTTAGACGAGCGGCTAAGTCACGCAGCAAGCACGTCAGCTAAACATCATGTGATCTGGCATCGGCTGAAAGGCGCTCACGGTCTGCTGCATTTCTCCGGTGGTGATGGCATCTATTAGATTGGATTGATCTGTGCAGTAGCAGCTCGAGAACGCATTACCACCAATTGGATCAAGCAAATAATGCAAAATTGTATTATGAAAAACTCTCTGCCAGGGCACTGACAAGCGTGGATACGAGGCAAAAGTTCGAGTTTTCGCAAAATCACGAGCGCATGAAGTCCCACAGATTATGACAAGGTCATGGTTGTTAAAAGTCAAGGGGGTTAGTGCCTTGCAGGAACCAATCATGTGTTGCCGTTGCGGCCGTTAGAACCAGACGGTCGGTACTTTGTAAATTGCTCGGCCCGCGCCATGTGGCCCCATATTTCTGAAGCATAAATTACTAGTACCTAGTTATAGCATAGACTATAAACTTCTATTAAAACTGGAAGAAAAGCCTTATACATCTTCACTCGAAACCGAATAAAATATCATAGTAGTACACAGTAATGCTATATCGCCACAGCCAGCAAAAACGCCGGTTCCGTCCCGGAATTGGTCAGTTGGTTTAGGGTTAGTCTCAGTATCGTCTTTGGCGAAGAATGGTCTGACTCTGCGACTCTGTACCAAAATAGACGGAGAGGGACTGTACTTCTCAACAGTAAGTACGACTCAACAGGCTTGGCTCGGGCATGGATGCAGGTTTTAGCTCCCGGCGAGCATGGGCCTACTTTTGCACTTGTCTGCAAAGCAACAGCCAAGAACGTAGATTCTAGCTGAGCCGCTACAGGCTTCCGAAGAGCTGCAGGAGCAGGGACCGCGGCAGTCGCTCTGGTTCTTGGTCTACAGTGTCTGCAAGATTCGCCCAGACGCAATCTGAGGCGCAAAGTAAAAACCAGCAGACTAAGAGGCGCTCTCGCACTTCTCAATTGTCAAGTCGATGGCCCAAGAGCGAACTGGTTGAAAACAGGCATCTGCGGGTTTATGGATAAAACAACTAAGGTCTTTTTCATCCGGTAGGCGTAGGTTTCGAGTACACAGTAGTCACAGTAGCAGTTGTGACTGGCATCGTGGAGGAGGCGGTTGTGGCGGATGTCTTCTCAGGCCCGACTTTTCTTTCCTAAGAAAGCTAGGAGGAGATATACTAGTTATATGGAATGAAATGCTATACAGTGCTAACAGGGAATATAATATATTGTATTTAAGTACAAATACAATACAAGCTATGCTCTGCGCTTGCATAACTAGAAAAGATGTTGACTATTTTCGACAAACATTCCGCTCCACAACCGTAAGTTGGGGGTGGGCGAGTATAGCCCTGCTTTTGTGTTTTGGTAGCCGGCAGAAGTATTCAAAACTTCCAAAACTGGGTCGGCTACAGGCGGGAGGATTCACCCCCTTGAAGCGCTACACGAACACCCAGTGGGCGTCATCTCATTACAACATGTCCGCGCCCTTTTGGGGCCCGTCTTCTAGGGGCAATAAACCAATCAAATAATAGTAAGTAATACCTTCAACTTGATATAAATAACTAGATGAAATATATGTTATTTTTTTTCTCTTTTATAAACCGCTACGCATCCGCTCTGTTATCCACTGAGACTAGACGGCTATGTATCCTGCTGTATTGCTTTAATGTTGGCTAATGGGACAGAGGGGCCCCCAAAGCATGTAATGACACATGCGACTGAAGGTATTACCAGACATCAACTTGGACCCACGTCTGTAGCTATGTGGATCGAATCTTGTAAGTCCCTACTCACACTTGTCTCTAAATGCTGTCCATTCCATGCATGCGGTTTACAATAAGTGGCATCCAAAAACAGATTGTCAGTTAATCTAGCATGCTCGCGACTTTACTTATTTCCCTCTATAGGTCAACGAGTATGTTAAAGATGACTAGAAGCTAATAGCAAGAGTGCAATAAGATTGAACGAGAATGCAACGTTGTGAGAGGAATGAGAAGTTACTAGAACTATCTTCAATCTTAATTCTGCATTCCTTCGGACATCTCCTACCCTAATCATCTCAGGACAAGCTCATCTCACAGTTTGCTCTCGTCTGCTGCCAGGCGACGGGTCAGCTAAAAGTGCTCAAGCGTCATCCCGGCAAGAGATCCGACTCCGTAATAGATTCGGGTATTACGTCCACCATACATCCTCACCCTGATGTCATTGGCAGCCTTTTTGCGTCTCTAGTCCATTCATGGTGTGCCAACAATATTCATGCACGCATTTATAGTCTCCTGTATACAAGGCATATGCGAAAATGTCAAATGGCACTCTGGATAAACTGTCTGTCTTGACATGAAACTTCTAGCTAAGGCAAGTTTGCCGCTAATAAATTCATATGGTTCCTACTACCCTACAATGTGAGGGAATGTGTGGTTGATCGTCCCCGTCTGCGATTACATGACCTGGTCCATGAGCCTTAATTTAATACTTAGCCTTCTGTCTTGACTCGTCTTCAGACCTCAGCCAGGTGACCATAAATTTTCAAGTCGCAGCAGTCATCATCGTCAAGACCAACCTCACAGATAATCCTGAAGACATGTCAAGCGGGACAGAGTCCAGGCGCATGCATTGACGGTCCATTGGATCCTGTGGAGCGGATACGAGACGGCAATTACAGTAGGTACGGGTAATTCCGCCTGTATGCAAACAATTTCGGAATTAGCGAAAACACTCTCTGCGTTACCATGCTACTCGCAACGTGCGATCTAACTGGATTAATGGTACAAAGGCTTGCTAGACGCCCACCGGCAATATGCCGCGCCAAACGCGCCCGGCGATAAACATGCTTAGTGGTACATGGCTAATAGACCGGTACATCAAGCATTTAAATGGCTGGTTGTTTGTTGATTTGCTCTACTCTTCGCAGGCGGCAGGTAAAATAGTTTCATAGTTCCTCTTCATCAATCCGGAATGCAGAGGCCTACTGCAACATATTCCGTATACCGACAGTCGCTTTGCCGATGCTAAACAGAGAGCACCCGAGCACGACTGCTTCAATTGCCGATCAGAAAAAGGAGCTGACATCATTATCCATATCATATGACTTGAAATGTCTGAGCAGGCCACAAAAACATCTCTCTCGCAGTAGGTGCCAACACCGTCAATACTTAGGCCACTTCACTTTATTACTGTGATAATGAAGCTGGCACTACAAATCGACCATGAATCAAATGCGTCCTCCTTTCTACCTGGCGATTGGCTGCGAGGAATATTAGAGCTACGAGATTGTCTATTTCAACACCCTCCGCGGATCACGGCAACACTTTGGGGTGAGCAATAGAGTACGAGCCCGGTCCTCAGTATTACCGCTTACCAACCTTTGACTTTACAGGTAGATTGATAGTTAATGTGTCTTCCGAAGGCAATGCTTGCTGTCCTACCGAGCATCATCATGCGGTAAGTGTACCCTCACGGCAATACTTCTCTAGTGCTAAGGCAGTGTCTAGCTATTTGAACGATCAAAGCAAGCCGAGATTTTACAGTCATCTGTTGCAAATGATAAGCCCAATAGTTGCGTCTATTTGCGTTCCATTGAGTTCAGATTTCCCACGAGTGTGAACTGTAACTGTGCGTCTGCCTTCCAGTTACCATCAACCATCACTATCAACAACGGAAAGCTCCGAGCGAACTTGACATATACACTATCTGCCACAGTGGAGAGAATTGTAGTTGGAAGAGTAACAAGATCATACAGAATCAAGCGGGAGTTTCCCTTCAGCTGTAACCCCGTCATCCAGAATCTCCCAGCATTATGCGCCGTCGCAATTTCGGCTGGTAAGCCAGTCAAAGCTGTAAGCTTGCCCCTCGAGAGTCAACCGAGAGCAATTATGAAGAATCTCTGCCTTCATACTCCCCGTCCTTGCAGATGGAGATAATTTTTCCTCAACAACCAGTACTGATTCTTGGACGCGAGACGCCAGTAAAATTGGTCCTTCATACGCCACGAGAGCTTATGCAATCGGCTACCATCTACGTATGGAGTGTAGAATCACAATTGAAGGCCAACGTATCTGCTCTTCCACGGTCTACTTGACATAGTGTGACTGACACCCGTCTTGGAAACACTATAAGCGGGGCGGTGCCCATCGAATGTGAACATTTCCAGCTGGAACTGGGGCCTCGGAGAATGTTTACGGCCGTCCAGTCCGGAACGTCCTTGGACTCCTGCCTGCTGAAAGTGGTATACTGTCATGAAGTTATCACTGGCTTGTCTAATGGCAGAAGGTCCCATACAGATACGTGTTGTACTATTTATGCCACTGCTAGTGAAACTAATCAATATGAGCACACATAGTACCTAACGGCATCTCTGGAAGTTGTTGCGATGGGTTCCCGTCCACCATATGAATCTACAGTGCCTTATGTAATATGACTTGAAATGGGCTCAATACCTGGGCAATCTCTTTGTGCGGGGATTTATATGGTTGATCACTCGACGGAAGGCGTATTCAGATGTCTGGATCATCAACATCATATTTCAATAACATAAAACCCTCATTGCTGGCTAGGGCTCTAGCAGCCACATAGACATCCCGGTCTTTCTCACGCATTTCCTGTCCTCGGAACTCGGCAAATAGACACTCCTGTCAAGATCTCTGCTTAGATTCGACAATTCGAGTCCGGCGGCGAGGCCATCCTTTTGTTCCCTGTACAACCTTGACACCCGTATCGAAATCCAGCTCAGGCTCCTCTGTAACACCTCCCTAGTCGCCCTGCTATCAACAATTGGTCCCGACGCACCCGCATTCCTTGCAGTTACCTTGGCTACAAGCCACGCTTTCATGTCTTGAAAGACAATCCCAAGGAGTGTTGCAAGTCGACCACGGACCGTAGCCCCAATTGTTAGCTGTCCAGCACCACTTCCTGTCGAGGCTACAACTTGCCCAGCAGTAGCCGCCCTTGCTGCATCCGTAGTTATCTGAGTTCCAGCAGTGGCGCGTAAACAACCTTTTCACACTTTGTCCTTCTCCGAGTCCCTCCGGGTGGCCAGCACACTTGCGAATATTGTTGCGGTCAACGTTGGCGGGCAGCGTGGCATTGTCGACCTTCATGACTCCGAGGGAGCCGCATTCACCATTGGCGTCTGCTTGCACAGAGACAACGTCGGCTGGGGCAGAGAGCGCTGCCTGGGCGTAGATGATGGCAATAGCTGCTGCTTGTAAGAGCTTCATGCTGGTGGAAGTAAATGATTCTTGCCACAAGGCTGGTTGAGTGAAGCCAAGTTGGAAGAGGAAGAAGTGTTATTCTCTTGAAGGGTAGGTAGTAGTGTAAGCCTCTGTTTGAATTTGAGTTTGAAGCAGAGCAGAACAGTATTTTTATACTTGTTTCTTCTCAAAGACTTCATAATTGTAGTTCCGGAAACGGAAGCATGCCTCAAACGAGCTTCATGCAGAAGGGTTATGACCAGTCATACTGAGATAAGTCAAGGAGGTCGGTTATTGACATGACTCCTGTCCAAAGAGGATTGCATCCAATAGTAAATGCAGTTCCGGCCTTTGTAGTATCAACAGTGGATGATTCGGTCGCCATGAGTATTCTCAGTATGTCCTTAAAACCGCATACGTAGCCTAGACAGTGTCTTAGTTGCAGTGAATTAACTGGTTGCCCGTTCTTTGTTGTTTTCGAGTTGCATTCGTTTCATGTCGATCCTCCTGTCGAGATGAAGATCAAACTCTCGGGCCATGTACAAATTGCTTTCAATTAGCCGTGCCTCGCATATTTGCGGCACAATCAATTGGTCGGTCGGTTGGGGTGCAGGCCGCTTTTGGAAATGTCAGGTCAAATGATACCAGACCACGATGGCTGAGTCCTTGGCCCCTGCGGCGGCTGATCTGACTGTGATGCTGTCTTATTGAGACGAGGTTCAATTATTGAATTGCTTGACGTTCTATTTATCTAAACCTTACAAAAACTTAGTACAAGACCCTGCTGCCGATGAAATGTTGACTCAGGCGTAGGGAAGCCAGAGAGAGCCTGTAATTAATATCCGTGCCATTTACTTATTCTCTCTGGCTCGGGACTCTGCCGGCAAGCTCGAGTCCGGCAAATGGATCGTTTGTTTTCAACCATAAGTCCCAGGCACCACGGGCTGATCCCAGCGTATTTTGGGGAGCCTCACTGAAAGCCCATGTAAGTCAAAGTCCATCTGACCTCTTGTTGGAGGAAGGATAGAAAGCTGATGGGCTAAGCACGGTGGCACCTGCGGAGACATTGACACCGCATGTTTGACAGGGCAAAACGACAAGTCAAAATGACAAGTCGTGAAGTTGTCTTGCTCACTTAGCCCCTTCACGCCTCGTTTATCTTGCGGACCCGGCGCATCTCTCTCGCCTCTCTCACCCTGCCACCTCTCAGACCTCTATGGCCACTTTCGCCTAGCAGATCTCTGTCACCTCTACTGCTCCGGCGGCCAGAAGATCGCTCCGTTCTGACTCCTGCATTTGCCACCTTCGGGGTCCCAGGCACCGCTGCAGACTCTACAGGCTGTCAATCCAGCCTCAAGCTCCTTTTCCGTCTGCCCGCCTTGGCACTGAATCTCGCCAGTGGTGTCAAAACACTTCCTCGGTGGCTCTGGCTCTGGCTTCGGGGGCGGCCAGATACGCGTGCCGGTCTTGCTCACGCATTTACCACCCTCGACATCCCAGGCAAACCCGCAAACTCCGCAAATGGCATATCCTGCCTGAAGCTCTGCTGGTGACTGCCCTCCGCCGCACTGGATTTCGCCAGTCGAGTCCGAACACGTCCCCGAGATCTCGGGAGGTATAGAAGAAAGAGAATCGGGAGACAGCTTTCGCGGCCAGAGGAGCTCCCCGGACTTGGTCTTGCATGTGCTGCTCTCCGCCTCCCACCCGCCTCTGCAAATACTGCAGACGGCCAGTCCTGTCCACAGCTCTGCTACTGTCTGGCCGCTGGTCACTGGCTCTGATATAACATCGGGAGACTCAGGAGATCCCAACGGCCAAAGGACCTCCCCGGTCTTACCCACGCATCTGCCGCCCTCGGGGTCCCAGGCAAACCCGCATCCCCAACAGATGGCACGTCCTGTCTTGAGCTCTAGAGTTGTCTGGCCGCCCCCGCACTCGATCTCGCCAGTCGAGGTTGAACACTTCATTGTAGGCTCTGGCTCCGGGGCTGTCTCTGGTTCGGGCTCGTTATCCTGCGCTGGGGGGTTCAGTGATAATATAATGGATACGACTCGACACTGCAGGGCGCACTCGTCACCGCTGGGCGGGAGACTAAATAAATTGCACTGAATATAGGTATTAGCTCTGCAAAAGCAACGGCATCCAATACTCCCCGAGACACATACCTTGCACTTTCCGAACCAGACGTAGCGCTCTGGCTGCGTTTCCTCCTCCTCTTCTTCCATGCTCTCAATCTTCTCAAGATGCTCAACGAGCTTATCGCAGCTATTCTCGAGCTGGGGCGTAGCAACAGCACTGTCTAATTGCCCGTTGTACATTTTCTCGCATATTTTCGCAAGTTCTTCTAGGCCCTTGATTCTCCGATTCTCGTTTTCCTCCTCCTCCCGACGAGCCTTCTCTTTGGCGGCTGCCTCCTTACGGAGGCGCTCATGCATGTCATATGTCGACTCTCCAAAAACTCTAAACACGCTCTTGAAAAACTCAATAAGCTTGGCCTTGAGCTCGTTGCCGTAAATATCGTCACGCTGGGGTCCGCCAATAGCTTCCTGGAGGCTCGCCATGGCGTCGTCAAACCATTTTACAGCGTACCCAACAGGATTATCCCACTCCCTGACCACCTCGAGAATGTCGCGAGCGTAGGGCGCTACAATCGTGAATGCAGCAGCCTTGCCAATCCCCTTGGGCACGCGCAGGCGGCACGAGAGACCACGCTTCGAGCACGGCGAGCTCTTGGGGTACGTGGTGCCGGGCTTCTTTCTCGGCCCTTTCAGCGTGTCGGTTCTCCAGTCTGAACTGCCTGGCTTGGGCTTACGGAGCTCCGGCAACCCCCCGGGCATATTCTTCATTGGAGCCTTGGGTCCTCCTTGAGGGAGTTTGGGCAACCCGGCCAGCCCCCAGCCTGGGATGCCGTTCCGTACTGCATCGGCAAGAAGTTGACTTGGCGGCGTCTCCTTATACAGCGGACCCGGCGGCGCTCTGCCGACAATAGCTAGGTGTGCGCTGGCTAGCCCGAGAAGGCCGAGACAGGGAATTGAAAGCTTCATGAAGTGTCTGACAAGGAAACGGAGGGCGGGAATTGTACGGGCTTGGACACGACGATACCAAGACTTGTTAAGATTTGGCATTACAAAAGAGGCAAGTGATGGACTTTATATGATTTGGCTGAGACCGCAAGGACACTTTGCTGCAAGCGAGGACTGAAGCAGAAGCCTCAAGACGTATTCAATCTTGGCAGGTTTTTGAGCGTGGCCTCATTTTGCTCGCATAGACTACGTCGGCGGATAGTTGGTGGGGTATGTCGATTGTCATGACATCTGAATACGGAGTACGTGAGACAGGGATCGAGGTGACAAAGCTTTCCTGAAAAGGTGACGGCTGAAGAATCAGATATGACGAGTAACACGAGTAAGTAGCGCGGGAACGCCCTGTCTTGTTCAATAATCCTCCTTCTAGTAGGGAGTCGAAGCCGGTAGATAGTTGGCGAGAGTGAGGAATCCGCATGTTCTGTGTTCTGATTCTCTGTGTGATCGTTGCTGCAACCGCAAGATTTACTTCGTTTTTTTTTTTCTCACGACGGACAACAGGACACTACAGCAGTGATGGGGTGTATCTTACCATTACGTCACGAGACTACGCTTTACAAAGATTGGGCACGTCCGCGGGACGCTCGATAGTCCCTCCGCCTATTATGCGAAATTACTGACGGCAAAGCGGTTAATCGTTTCTAGAACTTCGGGCGAGAATGGTAATTGTATGGTGTGGGCTTGCATGACTTGCTTGCCAGGGCGAGAATTGCATGCATAACTCTACGAATTGCCCCCGCTTATAAACAAAGTAAGCTCATTTCGGAACTTGCCAAGCCCGCTAACTACCGAAATAGTTCCCGGTCTACGGAGTATACGAGTTAGCCTCGGTCAGTCACTCGCTGCCTCTCTCATGGACTGCCGTAACTATTGTGGAGAGTTAATTTCAGGGCTTCGGAGCCGATGAAGCAATGACAAATCAACGGTACATGTACCTTGTTGCCGTGGTGGATATCGGATACAAAGTGCCACTTGAGTACCCCGGTAGGCACACATTGTGTGCATGACTCTCCCTGCTGCCGCATCTGTTAACCAACCTAGCGAAAACTGGCTGTAGTTGACTGTGGAGATTGAACCGAGTTGAAATATAAATCGGCATAGGTATATACTCATAGTCTAGCCTGTATTTATTGCTCTACATGACCCTTTGTTTGTTCGCGAGGCTCACTAGTATCTCACCACACTGCTCGCTCCGTGGGAAAGAGGGGGCCCCATAAGGGTCTTGGAAGCCCACAAGATAAACTTTTACAATTTATCCTGACTCGCTTGCCGAGATTTTTATAGCCCAATAGACCTGCGTCTTTAATGCTATTGCCGGTGCCTCCACAAGGTACCAAAGAGTTGATTCGACTAGACAAAGCCAACCAAATATGGTTCCCTAGCACAAGGAGGGTCGTGCTATTCGTGCTACCAACCCTAGCTATTCGTGCTAGTTACTACCGCTCGATTTGGCCTAGTGGCTAACTGCCTACACCCTACCATACATTTTCGCATACACCTACATGGTCGCGCCTGCCTTTTAAAAATTCAATTGGTATTCATAAAACTATTATTTTTTTAATAACACGAGCGCTAGTAGGGCTTAAATCGCTTTAAAATGTGATTTTTAGTATTTTTAATGAATATGTACACATTTACGGGCCGTTAATTATTCCGCTACCGCCGTGCGGCGTGCCCGTGCGGCTCTTTCAGCTGTGTTTAAGGGATAATTTCCCCAATTTCCGGTGACCCTAATGCTGCTACTTGCTCTGTGGCCTGTCTACCTATTAGTTGAGTTTATGTGTGATTTACAGCGTTTCTTAACCGCCCCTACGACCGTATTATACGAATAGCTAGGGTTAGTAGCACGAATAACTAGCACGGCCCCACAAGGAGGATCTGTTTTTTTCCATTTCTGGTACTTCTAGAAGCGCAAAACAGACCGCCGCGGACCCGGGAATAACTAACTAAAGTGTCTGTGGCCCACTAGCTTATTCGCAGGGGACCATCAAGCCTTGATGGGCCTTTTCGCAGCCGAGGGAATACTTTCTGGTTCGTTGATTATGTTCGATTTTGCATTACATTGCAACGTCAACCTTTATTAGAAATACTCCGCTTTTAATCAAGACCACCCGCAGTATTTCGGCGCGAGAGGGCGGAAAATCAGACTCGACATTCGTAAGCGCTACAGGGTTTACCCGGCAATCAACCCTGCGCTAATAATGTCTGACATTACACTGCCGTTTTGTCCGTCGACTCCCACGTCACGAGGCTGCCCAGGCAAGTTGGGACATGACTGGTTGGTGATACAATCCTGCCGCCTGTTGGGTAATCACGCATCAGGACTAGGCAATTTCTCAACGTGGTTCTGAGACATGTCTAGAATTCTGATTTGAAGGCGGTGTACTCCGTATATTGCCAGGATCCCATTGGCTCATAAGATGGCGGGAGCTCGGCTTGCATTGTCATGGTTCGAGTTTGTCTGCTTGTAGGTGCTAGCTTTGCATGTTGTAGTTGGTGCACCGTCTCAGAACCGCTCACAGTTGGCTGGGCAAATGGACCCAAAATTATCTCATAGTGGTTCCATACAGATATTTGGTAAAGGAAAGTAGCGATAGATGCTGATAGCGGGACCAACCGGCGCCATGCAAAATGCTAGATTGAACGCATCTGGTCTGGTGCTTTTGGAATTTGGCGTGGCGGATACCGGCATAGATTGTCCCGTTGTCCAATCAACGCTGGCCCCGATGACATGTCGATCGGGCGCGCTAAAGATTGGCCTGGAAATGGCGGCTTTCGCCTGATGTGGATCATGGAAGAGCCACGGCAGGTTAGCAGGCAAAGTTTTTCGAGACTGGACGTCTTTGGTATCATGGCTTTCACTGAGAAAAATGTAGCTGCGGATCCTTTGCATTAAAATGTCGGGCGACATGCTTTTGCGGAAATTTGCCAATTTTGAGAGAAAGCTTCAATGTTACCCTAAACTAAAGTCGGATACTCCAACGATGGATGCCGACGCCCCTTTTCGCGTAATATGTCGTGCCCCGAAACATAGCAACATGGCCCTTTTCTAGAAACAAGATAATGGACTGATCTTCATGCCTCTGAGAGGATAAAAAAAATAATTCACTGTAGCATTGGATCGCAATGCTGTCGCCGAGAAGACATACGATGATTAAGCGTGGCAGAGAGGGCATCCAAAAAAAAGACAATGCGGCCAGTGTGACTCGAACACACGACCTTCAGATAGGCATCCGTAGGATTGAAGTTTACTTCAGTCTGACGATCTCCCAGCTAATCTATGGCCGCAAGGTTGGAGAAATTGGGCATTATTCTTCTCTAATACGGTACCGGCTTACCAAGAATGGCTACCAAAAAATGGCGCAACTGGTCCAATACCCTTCAACATCAGCAAATTCAGACAACCTATCATCCATGTACCACATTGGAGAATGCGAAGCGAAATATGGTATCAGTTTGCTGTATAGAAGAATACGCATGCAGGTATATCTTAGGACATCGTAGAAACTCAGTCACTAAAGTCTTCAGGAAGAGGCCGCTTGGGATCGTACGGCGACACACGTCTACTCTCTCCTATCATATTTACGAGCCTTTCAGCCAGTAACTGTGCATCTCAAGGGCGCCGGCCACTAGCATAGTTGAAGTTGGCATCCGGCACCACGAAGCTAAAGATGATTAACGAAATGTTCGCCAGAAAAAAAAATACCGGCTGCTTACGGCGCATGAGTCCAGCTGCTCTTCAAACAAGCAGGGTCCGAAAGCACTTTCAGAACCTACAAGACATTAGCACGGTACGCCGATAGTTTGATGAATGAGCTGACACACAGAAGCCTCGACATCCTCGCCCGAAGCACCGAATACCTTGAAGTAGTCCCCCATAAATGGCCTCGTCACCCAAAGGCGATTTTCTCAAATAAAGCGCTCATGGTGGTGGTTGTGCAGCCATACAAAATGCTTCTTCCTTCAGGCCCTTTTGTCTTGGCCAGCACCTCGACCCCGTGGCATGTCGCATCCACTGCTTTCCCAGTAGGTTTTCTAGTCTGCGGGAAGTAATTTGCTAGTAGTTTATGAACTACTGGGGAGTCGATAGGTTGTCGTATTATACTCGTATAGTCTTTTCCTGTCCACCCGGTAGGGAGACCATGTCGAAGGCACCAAGATCAAATCCAGCCACAGACCAGCCCAAAGGGTGTTTCCATTCTTCAGATGCAATCATGGCGGCACATTGCCGGTGAATAGACTGTGTAGCGCCCCGAAAATGAAATCAGTAGTAATCTTACGACAAATAATGAGTTTCCATACAAAAACGGTTCGTGTGACACCTTGTAACATCTTGGCATCGCACTCAGGCAAAGTGCCTGTCTCAGTCGCGAATTTACTTCAAAACGCGCTTCCCGAAAGCCAGTGTACGGGAATTATAAGAAAACAGCAATGTGCGAGAATCCTCCAAGGTTATGTCACGGAATAGGGGTGCGCGCCTGTAGGATCATGACCGTAGTCGGCCGTCATCACAAGGATCTTGACCATGGAATTTGGTCTAATTAAATCTGCAATGCGGTAAGAAGATAATGGCCAAGGGAATAGAACTGAATGTAGTTAATAATATCGCAACATGACTGCCCGAGTCGACGGAGGTGCGGCTCGCTATAAAGAGGGGTTTTGGTAACAAAACTTGCGGCAACGCTTTTATGCTAATTTTAATAGGAATAATAGAAGTCTGTATCCATCTTTAACCGTGTCCGTTGGGGTTTAAAATACAGCCAAAGCGCAGCATATAGCGACCACATCTTCATTCTACTACAATTAGCGAAGGACGTTTGGTGAAACTCGGAAATCCTTCTACAACGCGAAATACACTGCTAACTAGTTCTAGATGGCACGAACCTCCTATTGCCAAGATGTCGTTGCATCCAGACCCACTTGAACAAAGTCCTAATGCACTGACTTAGTGTTATATCCGCCGGGTCCCGGATGTCATCACCACGTATTGCTCACATGTGCGATCGACAAAGGGGTGTCACAGAAGGTGAATATTGCCGTATACAGACAAGCCCGAGCTTACGCTTTTCTTTTTCCTAGGTCTACATGCACAGTTTCAAGACACCGGTAGATGAACAAAAGACTAGTCCGGCCTCCTATAGTCAACTAGTGAGCGACTCTCTGTGTAGTAGCTTTGGTAAACTGGCAAACTGGCCACATATTGCCGTTCAACGAACGCGTAGCTCCATGCGCACTACGATCAAAATTACTATCTTGCGCGTATAGAGTCTTGCCTTGCCTTGTGATATCAATACTACCTTATGACGGGTCTAGAATCCCACATCACGGGGAATTTAGGCATCTGACAGCATGGGTGGCTCCGCTGACACTGGAATAGCAGCCTAGTGCTAGCTTAATGTAAATAGCTCATTAATCTTCTCAGTACTACTCTCCTGGTTACATTTCTCTCTTTGACTTTGAGTTGCTTATGTTAAGTGATTGCACAGTTGCTACTATTCTCGTTTGAATCGTTATTTCTTGAATCATCAGCTCGAACTAACTTGAGCATGAACGTCAAAGCCGCCAAGCTCAATCCGCAACAGTAATGCAAGGACTCCGCGGGGTAAGAGCTCTCTGCTCGTATGCGAATGGCCCGTCTAGGCAACCCCCGACATAGTCTTCCCGATGGCTAATGTTACCACAGCCAGACAACCTGGAGTCGGTTTAGCCATGTCGACCCGGATATACCATAGCCACCATAACTTATCCAATCGCACGTTGCCAGAAACACACAGACATGCGCTGATAAGCTAGGCAGCCAGCCCAGTACGCAAAATCAAGGGAGGAAGAGGTCCTGCTGACGGAGCTTTGATGTCAGATATTGGCTCGGCGAGTATTATCGTGCGTCAACTCACTCCGCTGCGAAGGCCTGGGTGGTTAGGGGGAGATTGCCACCTGACAAGCTGTCTGAAGGTTCTTCAGACGGCTTACATGCATCGCAAATGATCCTTCAGCTCTGCCCTACTTCCCTGCACACCTACATTAACTTTTACGGGATAGTGAGCACATTCGAGTGTGTTATGTATTGCATGGGTGCAGCGACGTACCACTCACTCCCCTGCTTACACCCGTTCCGCGTTGACGCTATAGTGCAGGATATTGCCACCAGTTCGACCATGTACCACACAACCTGGCGCTTATACAGGTATATAAGCTGCCATCTATCCCCCTTCTCAGCTTGTGCAAGTCTAGAAAATACATCACAGAACACTTATAAAAACTATCTTGTGAGCCTATAATCGAAATGTCTCAGTCTTTCAACCTAACGAACCCCGGTCGCATCCTTCGCGTCGGCGTTATCCTCCTGAAGGGGTTAGTCTGTTCTCACTATTGATCGGCTGATATGTATGGGATTCTGACAGAATTTCAACATTCAGTATAGTAGAACTTATTGACGTGGCACCTATGGACCAAATCCACGAGATTAGCCACCATTTCGTCGATCCGCTGCCACCGTCGGTCGTCATTGAAGACTTGAAGCCGCAAGCGCTTAATACAGAATACCACTGGGTCTCCGAAGCAGGGCCAGGGACACTTGTGAATGGCACGAGTGGAATAGTCTTAGCGCCAACTGTATGTGATATTGTCTGCTCTGTTTGCGATCAGACAAGCTAATATGTATGGAAACTGATATAGGACTCCTTTGAAACGTGTCCGCCCCTCGATATTGTTGTCATTCCTGCATCGGACTCAGCCGTGCGTAGCCCAGCCGAGCTAGAGTTTTTAAGAAAAAGTTACAATGAGAGCTCTGCGTTTATTGCCATCTGCTATGGCATGTTAGCCCCATTGCAGGCTGGCATACTAGACGGAAAGACCGCAACAGCGCCTCGGTTCGACCTTGATAGATTCCGAGCTATAGCTCCTGGCACAAATTGGGTTGACAAGCGCTGGGCAAGAGATGGGAAGCTATGGACTAGTGGTGCGCTTCTAAATGGGCTACACCTCATGTCGGCCTTTATCCAGGAGACTTGGCCCAGCGGAGAAGGCACACTTGTGGACGCAATAATGAAGATGGGGGCATGGCCAGATGGTAGCCCAGACTACAGCGATGCAGGGGAAATGTAGTACCCATTTCTGTGTCCATCAACCAAGCGAATCAAGGTAGGGCCCTTGTTGGGCTTGGTTGACTAGAGCTTTTGCTTTACTTGCCACAATGGGCTCTTGCTTGGTTGACATTACTTGAGTACTATCGTACAAAGGCAAACTTATTAGAGTGACTGATTGGGCCAATCTAAGCACCTGTCTCGGTATATATTAGCCTGGTGTGCCAACCGGACTCTCGACACAGCTTTTGTGCGATATGCTTTAATTAGTGAATATCTTTTATATGGACGATTTAGCTCTTCCAGTTGCACCAACTGTATTTTCCCGATCCCTTCCATAATGCTTAACCCATGCTTCCCAGTTTTCGCCAGCCACGCTTTCAAAACTTGCCTATTTGTCCCGTTTGGTCCTTCGAAAACTGTCACGTTTGTAATTCCTTAGGCATTATTCTACGGGCAAAAACGTCAGAAAATAAACACAGAGGAGGGTTATTAACTTATTTAAAAAAAAAAAAAATCAAAAAAACGGGCTAGATGGAGGGCATCTAGTAACACTGTTTTTGGCCGGACCTAGGCCAGGGAACCGTAACTGACCACGCAAGACACCATGGGTACACGCATCGCGATGCGTCAGACACACTAGCCGATTAGTGAATTCACCGTGGAGCTAGCTAAAAAATGAACACTGTGAGCTAGCTTATCCTCATTGCGGAGGGACAGAGGAAGGTTATATGTCTATTCGATTGAACAAGTTTGAACTATGGGTTCCCCTACTAAGAGTAGAAACCCATAACCACCTTGTTTATAACGTACAGTGTATAAGTTTAACGGGCTGGCCCATTGAGGCGCACTCAGCGATGCCGATGAGCGCTACTTCTGCGCCTATGAGTTAGGCTATTGGCATTCTGCTTGCATAGGAGACATTTTACCGCTAAAATTCGACTCAAGAACAACGTTGAAGGCAGATGTGTCATAGCAGAACAGAAAAATGGTCGTCCCCCACAGAGCGCGGGTTGCGCCACATCGGGCAGGGCACGGGTTTCACGTAAGAAGATTAAAGGATAGGATAGGGTCATTCGAGGTAGGCATTTGAAGTCGAAGTAGCGTTAAACAAAGTATTCTGATTTGTGAGATTGACTTTAAAAAGCTACTAAAAACTAAGAACTACACCAGATATCCGCTTACCGAAGAGTCCAATCATTCTTTCTCGACCCAAAGGGTTCAACAGCTCCATCAATATCCACACGATCCTAGACTATAATGAGGCTCGAAGACAAAGATAGATAGAAAATAAGCCACTCATGGCCGCCTGCAGCTTAAATTCGGGAGAAGACTATACTACGCCCAGATACTACAAATTTCTGCATCACATGGATGCTGCGTATGGCCCATCATCTAGGGCAGATTCCGTTTCACATATTCGAGCAGCGATACCATATCTTTAGGGTTCCTTGCGTTAGATGGAAGAGCACGACCATCAACAAAGATCCAAACAATGGTAGCCAAGACCTATTTTGACCACGTTAGAAATATTGGCCATGTCTGAATAAAAAGGGCATCCATCCTGGACATGATACGAACCTCATCACCACCTTCCTGCGCCGCAGATGTCAAGTTTGACGTTTCTGGAATCTCGTCAACCATTTCCTGAACAGCAGCGTCATGGCCGAGTGCAAATTCAGCCGTGTGCTTCGCTCGAAGGATGTGAGTATAGTACTTGCACTCGGCCTTGACCATCTTGCCCTCGGCCAACTTGGAGGCCTGTTCAAATGCCGAGCCCAACAGCGCTTCAGCCTCTTTGCCCGACGACCCGCCAAAGAACCAGTTTGCAAGGGCACTCGACCCCAAGCCTCCGAGGATGCTTCCCGCGATGCCACCGAGGATAGCACCAATAGGCCCGCCAACCAAAGTACCGACGCCAACTCCCAATTCTCCCGCTGCAATGGCCCCGGACCATGAAACGACCTGCTTCCCCAGCTCTGTCTCCCATTGTGGAGCTGTGGCCACGGAATACACAGATACGGCGGCAGCAACCACGAACACGCCTTTGGAAACGAATGACACCTTCCGCATCAAGGCAGTAACGTTGGGATTTGCACGTCCAGCACTGCTGATTGTATCGACGGATACCTGGTTTTTGTTATCATTCAAAGTGAGCATAACCATGCCTGCTTCGCGGGCAAGCGCTGGTTGAGTGGCACTTACTTGTCTAGCCTCTACTTCTGTAAGGTCTTTGAAATCTTTGTTATACCTCACTTTGGAGTTTTTGTTCAGGTAGTAGTCATATTGACCTCCAGCCGGCTTTATAGACCGCGCAATCAACAGTCCTATGGGGGAAGTCTTGTTCCGCATCCCGATCAAGAAATTGTTTCGCATAGCGTGGGCTTCCGCGGCACCGGCGGCGGGCGTGAGGGAGCCTGTGGATATGCGTTTCAGTATATCGTCGGTAGCTGCGGCCACGGCCTTGCTATATTCCTGCCTAGTTCCGGCATCCTTAAGAAGCCACCGAGCCCATATGATGACGGTTCCCTTGAGCGCGAAAAAGGCAGTACCAAGAAGGGATTCTTGGTCGTCGGACAGAGTGCCAGAGCGTTCAACGACGTTGCTGCCGCTCCATGTCCCTGGGTCAATGTACTTGATGTATATGCCTTTCAGGATCTCAGCTCCTGGAAAGTCCCTGGGGTCATCCTTTATTAGCGTGTTCTTCAACCAGCCGTCGGTGTTGGCAGCAACTGCCCTAGAGTCTTTGCGCGCCTCCTCAAGCAGTTCATAGAGCTGCTTATCACCGACATTGCGAATGTCATTGCCTGGCGAGTCCAGCCCTGGCAGATGGATAAAATCAGGCCAGCAGGTGCGGTAGTAGATTCCCTGCCAAGGATCCGGGAACAATTGCGGCGCGTCCGGCGGAGGAGGCGGAAGTAGCTTGTTCTTGTGCCAGCCATCTGTGTTGAAGCCTCCAGAATTGGAAAGAGCCTCTGTCTTTTTGATAAGCTGCGGAATGTCGTCCTTGTAGGATGCAGTTTCTTGGACATCATTGCCGTTGGAGTCTTTTCCCATATAAAAGTTAAAGTCTAGAAACTTGAGACGAATATAAATGCCCGAAAGGCTATGACCTCCTGAGATGCTACTGAGGGGATATTTGACTGCGCTTTTGATCCAGCCGTCTGTATTAAATGCTGCGATTTTGTTTTCGCCCGAGAACTTTTCAATCACGGTTTCCCGCAGCGCGGTCGCAGTGCTGACATCCTTGATCTGCTCTATGTCATTGTAAGGGGAGTCCTTGCCTAAATGGGCCAAAGTTAGCACTCTATTATTGTTTCTGGCTGGCCTGGGGAATGAGTCGAGGACAGAAGCTGACCTTGTACAAAGTACCACCCGGGATATTCTACTCGAACGTAGAGATCGGAGCCGGTTGACCTTTCGAATTTACTGTAGTCGAGAACAGCCCATGATTTGATCCAGCCATTGGTGTTGAATGCAAGAAACAAGTTTCCTTGTTTCTCAAGAGTATTCCTTTTGAGTTCGGAGACATTGCCTTTTAGGTTGGGGAGGTAGGCCTGGTCTTCTCCAGGAAGGTCCCAGTCCTTGAACTTGACAAACTCTCCATCGCGAACACCTGCATTTGCTGCCATTGTTGGTTTAGGATTGTCCTTGTAGTCCAATAAGGTCTGATTCAGAAAAATGTACGATTCTGTGGTTGCTGAATTTGAATGGTGCGAGTCTGAGGTTATGCCGCCAATCTCGGTAGGAAAAGCCTGCTATAAATAAGGCATCGACACAATATGAGAAGGTCCTTCGTAAAATCGAACGATGGTCTGGCTATCTGAGGGTCGGCACATCTTTGCAAGTGCGCGAGCCAAGTCATTCACTGATCTGGTGTATCCTGCATACGCGAGATACCATCTTGTGAACTAGCAGGGTCTTGCATGGGCATGACACGGCCATGACGTGATATGAAAGTATTACTATTGCAATGTATCAACGATGTACCTGAAAAGACGAATGGAATGTGCGCACCTAATTATGGAGCGGTGAGCCAGTGACAAGATGCTCCCTTGTTTATGAACTCACAGAAACTTGCTGCAGATTCACTCGGCAAAGAGTGGCATCTCTTTATCACTTCTCTGTCCTTTCTTTTCTCTCTATTTTAGAGAAGTCGTAGAACCAGGTTGCACCACGCCGGCAATATCACTAGCCAATGTTTCTAGGATACTCTATTACTATATATGTTTAGCAATACAGTCTGTGTCTATGCTTGGAGCCATATCATCAACTTGCAAGCGTTGATTTAGTTGTCCATAAGTTTACATAAGCTTCTACAAGACAGGAGAAAATATCTACCGCCACAAAAATCGTCATGGAATATGTCATTTAGTTAGCAACGGGTATGTCAAGGCAACGTACCCACACACGCGCGCGCACATAGACAGTGCTAGCTACAGAAGGATCGTGGCGGCAAACGCGTCAAGTCTGGTAGCATCTACATCTGCAGGAAGCTCATTTGGGCGGAGTAAATGGTCGACCAGGCAACCAACCTGATCGTTGCTGCAGGAAGCATGCATGAGCATAAGCATGAACTTGGTACCCGGGACAGGCGATTCGCCTGCTGGTCAATTACCTGGATCGAATTAAAATGTCAGCGTCGGATCAATGTGCTTGTGGGAAAGAGCGGTTAAGAGTAGCACATTTTCTCTCTGGATGCAGCAAATGCACATGGTACAGTAAAGAGATGCTTCATTAAACGAGGAAATTCTTCCATTCTGCTTGGGAAACAAGTTATCAGAACGTAGCAAGATGGGAAGCCGAATGTGGCTGCTGCTCGGGCGACCAGCCGTCTTGACAACGTCATTCCTAAAAAAACACCTCCCCCGCCACAAAAATCGTCATGGAATATGTCATTTAGTTAGCAACGGGTATGTCAAGGCAACGTACCCACACACGCGCGCGCACATAGACAGTGCTAGCTACAGAAGGATCGTGGCGGCAAACGCGTCAAGTCTGGTAGCATCTACATCTGCAGGAAGCTCATTTGGGCGGAGTAAATGGTCGACCAGGCAACCAACCTGATCGTTGCTGCAGGAAGCATGCATGAGCATAAGCATGAACTTGGTACCCGGGACAGGCGATTCGCCTGCTGGTCAATTACCTGGATCGAATTAAAATGTCAGCGTCGGATCAATGTGCTTGTGGGAAAGAGCGGTTAAGAGTAGCACATTTTCTCTCTGGATGCAGCAAATGCACATGGTACAGTAAAGAGATGCTTCATTAAACGAGGAAATTCTTCCATTCTGCTTGGGAAACAAGTTATCAGAACGTAGCAAGATGGGAAGCCGAATGTGGCTGCTGCTCGGGCGACCAGCCGTCTTGACAACGTCATTCCTAACCACCCCTACTCCTTGCTCACACCCGCCTCATCACATATCATCTCAAGCGCGCGCCGCTCCAGCTGCAGGTAAGCAGACCTTTTGGCCTCGTTGCCTGGGTGGCATTTTATGCGCCCATGTCCAGTTAGGGTTGGGGGGGTAACGGGATCTCGTAGCATAAAGAGGATACCGATGGCAAGAGATCACCGTGTAGAAGACCTGTCAAGTGCCTAGTAAATGTAAGGAAAGATGGCGGGAATAAACGAGTAAACGAAGCTTCGCGTTTGGGATACGACTCGACGAGCGAGGTTAGGATTACTATCCCGGATGTCAATGGTTCGTATGAAAGTGGGCACAAAGATAAGCATAACCAGGGTCCTACCAAGGAGCAGGGACGTTTCGGAGATGTGTCCCGGTCTAGTTGGCCCAGCGTCTCTCTCACGCGAGCCCAGGAGGACATGACAGAAGAACGCAGCATGACCCAGGCTACGTTGTTGCCCAACGTCTGCAGGAGATTCTGCGGATGTGCGCGGCGATCATTGACGCGGGCAATGAGATCGGTCTCATCGAAGCCGTCCCAGACACCTGCAGGGTTGATCAAATTCGGGTACAGAATTGGGAACAGCTCATGGCGGAGCATGTTATCGAGCTGCTGGACGGGGAGGCGAAGACGATGCAGCGATTGCGCCATGGTGGCAATTTTGGCTGACGTCATTTCGGAATCGAGGAAAAGAGTCGAAAGGCAGATGCAGGCCTCCTTTTCAGCCTCGGTAAGAGGTTCGGTGTTGCTCATGATTTTTTATTCTTTTGCCCAACGTGATAGATGATGACTCATGAGCTGCTTTGGCTGGTGGCAAGGAAATGGACAGACAAAAGGGATGAATTGAAGACGGGTGCCGTTGGAGTTGATATAAGTTGCACATGTGGTGACGGACGACGGATTTTATTTCCCCCGCTGGGCACATGCTCAAAAATTACCAGACATGTCAAGTATTTACTACGATATTCTGAGACTGTAGTGGAGTCAATGACTCAATGAGAACGTCAATTGACTAGATTGAATCCTCTCTGGTCGCACGAGACAGACCAGCAGGTGCCATTAGCTCATTATATTCCGTGTCTGTTGATGCTTCAGCTGACGCCCGGTAACCTGGCATTCAGTCGCCGTCGGCCTTGCGCATTAGACGACGTAGGATGCCAGTCCGCATTGCACTTTTAAATGTTGCTGGATTCTGTGCTACCATCAACATCCGGTCGCATATTCTGGGTCCTTGTCCGTTTAATACCTTGTTACACTTTAAAGGGCACTAATTGTAACGATAAGGTATATATATAAGTCTATGTCTAGCTATAAAAGAGAG